CGTCGAAACAGCCGGCTTCGCGACGCCAGAAGCCCCGTAACATCCTGTCTGTCTACCGGAGCAGCCCTCCAGCACGAAATTAACACCCTTCAATTACGAAATGGAAATATTTGCTCTGTTCGCGCAGCTCCGTTCTCGGAAATTCCTTCCCGCGTTGTCTCGTCGTTCGGGAGCTCGGAGAATCGCTCGTTATTCGTTGCGGAGCGAGTTTTCCGCCGAGCAGCTTGTTCCTTTCCCTTCAAAGGGCGTCCTTTCACACGATCTCGCGACTCGATTTGAATATTTCGTGGACTTTACACGGCGAGCGGTCCCTTTCAAAGCTAATGAAAGAAATCGTTGATTTTTTTCCTCCTTTTACGGTCGTGTCGGCTCGCGCGAACACTCGGGGATCATGCCTAGCCCTGCGGGCGCCAACTTTTATCCGTAAATTTGCGGAAATTGCGAGCAAATTGGAATTCTTTGCGCTGTCGAGGATACTTCGCGTGAAATGGAAAGCCCTTCAGTGTTAAGGAAATGATTTAGCGCGATTTACGAATCCGTAAGGTTTAGTGTTCGTTGGATTCATTGAAATTATACGCGATTCAACTGATCATTATTTTAACGTAGATTTCTCTATCAATGAAATATCCTGTCGGAAGGATCACCGCTTTTTTAATACTTAGCCGAGGCTACTGGGTAATAGAATAATTCAGAATTTATTCAACACTTTCCATTTAGACGTCCGATCAAGGTAAAGTGATGGTACTTTGAAAAAAGTCACGAGAAAGGTTTAGTCGAGCTGAGGACGGATCAGACTCTAAAAATAGAGGACTTTAGTGATTCACTTCTGTTTTGACGAATAAGGCTGAACGACTCGGATAATTTTGTTATTTTAGAATAGCTCTTCTACTACTTAGAACTTAAATATCAGCGTCACAAACTGCTTCCTTTTTCGTGAGTCGTACAGACGAAGCTAAAGCTCTAACAAAATTGTACGCCGACGCTGCTCGCTCGCTACAATGATCCCTGTAAAATATAATACATCGCGGATCCTCAGCGCCTTGCTTCAGAATAACGAGTCGGTTTTGTGGCGGAGGTTTTAACATAATAAGAATTAACATTACAAAGGATAATATGATTTCATCCCCGTAAATAAACGTTTAATCCCTGTGAGACCCAGACATCCGCGGGTAACGAGGAAATTATTATTTTCTCCGTTAATTAGCGATAATGAGGTGTTGAATAAAATCAAGCAAAGTGATTAAAGTATATTACACCACGTCCCAGCTATTAGAAGGTAAAATGTTGCAGGCGAAAAATATAAAAATTGAATTACACAGTGAAAAACGTTGAGATAGAATGTAATTCATTCTAATTGAGTGTTACAAAAAACAGCCAGCTACTTTACAACTTAATCTCGTCAATCAACATTCAATTATATAGAGAGAAAACGTTGAGATAGAATATGATTCCCTCTAATCGAACGTCACGATAACATCTAACTATTACAAAAAGAGGAAATCAAATCTTCACTCCTCAAAAGAACGATTTAAACAGTGCCCCAAAAGTTCAGTTTCACAGTTTCGATTGGCTACCTGTAGCCGTATCGACGAACAGTAAATTGGCGATCGATAATGTCAGTAATTCGGAAGTAAAAGAGAAAACTGGTGTAAGAAATGAGAACCGATCGATCAACCGAAATCCTCAGGCTATCGAGTGGTCTCCCAGCAGTACGTTAGAATTTAATGTCATCGATCAAATTTCTAAAAAAAAAGCGCGGTGACAAGAACAAAATAGCAAACAAGGGTGGTTCGCAGAGGTCTGCCTCGAAGATCCGGAGGCATGTAGGGGTGCAGAGGTTGATCGGCAACGCCTCGGCCGTTCGCGATCAATCAAGAAAAGCGAACGGTGGTCGGGGCCCGGCTCGTAAACGTTGGAACACAAAGGCGGCCACGAGTCGCAGGATCGATAACGCCTTCGCCACGCTACCGGACGTGTATCACGGTATAGGAGCACGGTGCAGCGGCTCGATGACCAAACACCGTGTCCCCCGCTCGGAATCGAACCCGGCTACACCCCGACACGCGGAACAGCCGGGGATTCCCTCGAGCATCACGGGGAGAGCGGGGCGAAGCCGACAGCCGCGATGCGCAGGATGTAACTTACACCTGGCCCAGTTGAGCACCACTGTCTTCTCTACCTGGCTGTTTAATAGGAGAATGGAGAGGGAAAGAGAGAGTCGCGCTCGGCTCATCAGTATTTAAACAGCGACTTTTTCCGTGGATTGTTGAACAAATAAGGAATCCGATTACAGTTCGATTACCGCGTACTGTCGTTCTTGATTCTTGTATTTGTGAATATCGGTTGGGAAACGTTGCGTTTTGCCTCGTTTAATTCTGGACCTCTATGATTTCTTTTACTACTGCGTCGGCTGGAATTGTTTTTAGTCATTTATTTATATGTTTATTTCGAAGGCTGACGATTCGTAAGAAAATGTTTCATTCTTCAACGAATCGAGCGACATTCGTTTCCGGTAACTTCCGTGTAAATCCTCTCCGGGATATTGAAAGCAAGGGGTTGATTCTAACAGCGCTCGATGGTTTTCAAGTTCACGTTTCATTACGAATTTACCGTTCCTAGCTGAACCCCTTGCTTCATCCCCTGAAACGGCTCATCGCGATTCCCTAAAGAAACTACTTCCTATTTCAACGATTCTCAGAAAATCAACCTCCAGGTGAGTGCGACTAGTCAGTGATACGTTAAAACCATACTGGCTGGGTCAGAGTTAATAGGACGCAGACAGAGGGGGACAGAGACAGACATTTACACCTGGCCCAGCTGAGAGCCACTGTCCTCTACCTGGCCGTTTAATAGGAGAACGTAGTGAGACAGAGGTGTGGGGGGATAGAAAGAGACAGTGAAAGTTAGACAGTGAAAGACTCAGCCAGAGAAGGAGGGGACGTGGAATGTCCTCGTAAAAGCGTGAGAGAGACAGAGACAGGGAGTGTGAGAGAGAAAGAGAGAGAGGGAGGGAGAGTGAGAGGCACGGCTCGATTGAAGGGGATAGAGCAAGAGGACATGTACCTACGTAAAGGCCGGTGTTTAAAGAAGGACACCCGATACAGGAGGCATTGTACCCGGGTTCTACCGTGTGCCGTTCCAGGTGCTGGAGGGCAGTCGGCTCTCGCCACGGGACGGACATATACAGCCTGCATTTCCTTCGCCGTGGATACCGCGACGTTCGCTCGAACCCGTGAACGTGCCAGGCCGGTCCTCTAGGCGCGATCCCAATGGTTCACCGTGGACACACGAACCGCACCGGGACACCTGCCGCAACGCGACCGGACGCTTTGTCTTTGACTCGGTTTCTCATGGGAGTCCTCGAGTCCGTCTGGTCGGGACAAGTTTGATCATTCCCAGGTAGTTGCAGCTTATCTTTTTAAGTGACGTCTGCCGCGAGACACGTGGTCGGACGCTGCAGCATGCTCGACGTTCGTCCAGTCCTTCGCGATCGAAGGTTCGATTCGATCCTTGGTATTTCTACCTCGACGGCGGCCTTAAATATCTCACGCGAACGAATACTAGGAAACCCGCTCGCAACCTCCATTTTCTTGTGTAACCTATAGCTAGACTTTTGTGCCCTTATCAACCATCTGCACCTGGAAGCCTAATCAAACCTACGAAAATAGGCTCGCGCAGCCTTCACCTTCCCCTCGCGACCGAGAGAAGGCTAATTCAGCCACTCTTAGCATTTCCGACTGCATTAGCTTCTTATCAATAATCTACCCCTGTTAGCCTAGCGAAACACTCGGGTAATCTTTCTTAGCCTTCGCTTTCCATTCTCTAAGCGAAAGGTGCCTGGTTCGAGCACTTTTGATATTTCCAGCTAACCTATCGTCCTACCGCAGTATCCGCACCTAGGAACTTAATGAAACGCGAGATAAGCTCGCAGAGCCTCCACTTTGTTCTCCACGAGCAAATACAGCTTAGCCGAACCTTTGTCATTCCCTGCTATCAATTTCTCATCGACCGTCCGCCAGCTGGAGACCGAGGAAAACACTGCCAAGAGAATTTCCCATAGTATCCAGGCTGCCGTGGCCAACGCGACGTTCCATCGAACGCGCTCGCATCGACGGCGCCTTCTGGCATTTCTAGTCCGATCGTTGGCCGTCGCGGTGGACGTCTGCACCGGGACACCCGGCGTTGAATGCCGCCAAGTGGGAGAGCCGGTGCGAGAGAAAGAAGGAAACAGCTGAGGTGCGAGAGGGAGAGCCACGATACAGAGCGAAAGAGAGGGATCAACGAGACCGAGGGAATCGGGGAGGCAAGCCAGGCAGTCAGGCAGGCAGACACCGGGTGTGTGTATCGTGTGGTCTGCAGTGCGACATTCGACGACACGCAACACACGCTCCTTTTCAATTTCCTCGGTCCGTTCCCTATCGGCGCGCATTTCTTACCCTGGAATTCCTGAAGGGGGTACTAACTAGTCGCTCGCCAGTCGGATAACGTTCGATTCAAACTATTCCTACGTCTCGAGACGTTCTCGATCACCGCGCACAAGAACAAGACAAACTTGAAACTATTTCCAAAGTTACTCCAAAAAGTTCATAATTTATTTACAATCATTCAAAGCTTCGACGTTCCGAGCTCGATAATGGAAAGTCCTCGTCACTGTACGTTAGGAACACTGTACGAGAAACAGAATAGAAATATTGAAACTATTTCCGAAACCATTGCGAAAAGTTCTTCAAAATGTATCTATAATAGTGTAACATTAAAATCTTAATATCTAACATTAATCCAAAGTCGAAACCGTATACATCCCTCGAAGAAATTCTGGAAAATTGGTTTGTAATTGTTCCAAGTTCAGAGGTCGATATTGAAAAGTCTCCATGACCGAGCAGAAGAAAAAGGGAACGTTAGAAGCGAGCGTAACAGCTCGGCAGCAGTAGGGCTAATAAACTTTGGTACACCGGGTACCCTCTTCTCTCTCTGTTCCTGTCGTACGCGACACACGCGGTCGGCAGTCGTCGCCGACGCGGCGCGCCTCGCTCCTCTTTGTTCCCTCGACTCCTTCGACCTCGAGTGAGAGCCGCTCTCGGGCCGCCAGTCGATCGACGCGGACGCTCGTCGATCGTTTGAATCGCGCTCGCTCGCTCGCCGGAAAGACACGCGCCGCGCGGACGGACGGTTTACGCGGTCTTCGGTTGTCCTGGTGACGCGTTCCTGTGTCTTTCTCGTTCTCCTGTTGTGCTCGGGATAGGATGTGTTGTTTCGCTTCGGTGCGCGTGGGCGACAGAGAAGTTTAGAGAACGGGAAACGTATAACAGAGTTCGAGGAGTCATCGGGAGTTTGATTCTGCACGAACTTTCGAGGTCCTTTGTGTTCGATGATTAAGATCAATGTGATCGGTTCGGTGCGCATGCTAGAGGAACGCCGAGTCGCGGAGTGCAAGGAATCGATCAAGGATTTTCGAGTGATTCGCGAATGATCGATACATTCCTTCGGAGTCTTTACTCGATCACCAGTACACGGCAAGAATACCACTAAAGAATTGAGTGTTCAAATATAAACAGAGAGAGGACAACCTTGCCAAGGATCTACCAGGACCAATCGGAAGACGATCGACCGCGCAGAACCTTCGAACCGCAAACAGTACCGAAAGGGTCGCTTCCTTGACACGATCGAAACGGTTGCTAAATCGATCGGCACGATATTCAAAAACTCAAGAGTCCCAAGAACTGAAGAGAGCCTAAAGGACCTTCGGCAGATTAACGATACCTTGACTCGTGACTACGTAATAAACACAGAAGAAATATATGGACCTGTAACTAGTGCGTCAGTGGAGAAGTAGTTGTAACGGAGAAGATAAAGTTAAAAGGATCCGTTCGGTCGACGAGGGAATTGGAGTTCTCTTGCGGATTACGAGTAGAGGAAGACCCGTGCCACGGCGTCCAACGAATTAACCGGGTCGACGTCTGCAGAAGGAATAAAACGTGGCCGGAGTGCAGTGGCCGGCTGACTGAGGATGTGCCCGGCCTGGTGAAGCAGCCCGGCCGATGTCTTCCGGGCGACGCTCGCGTCACGACGGGCTGCGAGACGGAGCCACGTGAATGCCGCACTCAACGGAACCTTCCTTCCCGCCGGGCGAATTATTCTGGACCGGCATGGAGCCCGTGAAAGCCAAGTCAGTATACATCTGTATCTATCCACGTTCAATCGAAATTCTTCGGCACTTCGATTAACCGCCGACAACGGTCGGGTCTGTTTTGACCCAGTGTTTTTAACCGTTCGACGGATTTTCGTAAGCCCGCTCGAAAGGTACCGAGCGCGATCGCGCTTTCGTTTCGACTCAGAAACGGAACGACGCTTTTCTGTTTGTACATAAATAAATTTTAACCCTTCGCGGACGAAGATTCTTTGAAATGTAGAAAACCTTCAACGGATGAAGCTAAATTATATTTTGATTGCTTAAATACTAGCGAGAACAGAAACTACATGCTAATCTCTTTCTGTCCGAGTAATTAAATCGTTCGCCTGCGACTCAGTCTTCCGAATATGAACGTTTCATCTCGCCGAAATGTCGACATCCGTCCGCAGAGGGTTAAGTAGCACGATCGTTAGATTTGTCCAGTTCCAAATAATAGCAAAAGTAAGGATGAATAATTGGAAGGAAAAGGAATAAATAAACTTCATCTGATTGTACGAGATAGACTGGCACTTTTAGACTGTAACGGAGAAGCGCGATCGCGCCGCTTGGGACTCAACGGTTAAAAACATCGTGCCGTTTCTCGCGAATTTATAGAGGAATTGGGTTCTTGTAGTTGGTCTTGTAGGAGTTGAACGATTGAAATGGTTTTTAATTCTCTTAGTTTGTAGTAAGAAGCGACGAAGATTTTTGATCGAATAGAATGACTGATGTTGGTATTTTACGGTTATTAATGTTTAATCTTTGAAGAGAACGTATATGTATATAAAAAGACTCGTAAAGTTTCTTTGCTTCTTCGAGAATAATTTACGATGAAGTAATTGACGATCGAAGTTGAGGGGGAAATTTTAAAGCAAAGGATTAAACAGGCTCCAGATACTTTATGGTATTGGATAAAGTTCGATATTATTGATCGTATGAAAGGTGTATTGGACGTTTGCGCAATATATCGTGTAAATAGAGACTCATTGCACAATGATCTTCGTTCGTTTTCTTCCTTTCTTTCCTCCATTCTTGCCTCTTTTCTTCCCTTTTCTCGTTCTTTTCTTCGGTTAAGCAATCTTCATCCGTATTGCTCAACGATATCTAGCGAACTGAATTATTGCACAATTTGATTCTCGATTTACACGGTGCTATTGATCACCGAGGAATCGCTTATTGAATCGTCCGAGGGGATACCTTAATAATATTGCGCAATACTTCACGATACTGTTGTACGTTTACAAGCCTTACAATACTCGTCCGTTGATCGGAGGTACGTTAATGTTCTGCGGTGTAAATTAGGTTAAATACATGGCGAACGATGCATAATTGCCAATTATGTATTCTGTTTGTTCCTACACAAATTTGTCCACTAGACAATCGTATCCACTAGATACGATTTTCCTAAAGCATCACTAATAACAGTTACTAAGAAATTCAACGATGTTACAAAATCTCTATTGTCTTTCGCAAGAAGCTCGTTAATGTCGCAAAAACTCTGTCGCAAACGAGGCGCAATCAATGAAACATTAGCAACGAAATATGACAAGCGTCAGTCATTCTATCCACTGCGGTTCCATTGATCGTAATGCATCCGCCTGCACCACGTAAATTGAGGAAATCCGAGAATCGTTGTCGAACCGTGATCCGCGTTGTTTCAATCTATCGTTTAAATTTGCAGAAAATCCGATTTAGTTACGTCGCTTACGGGGACCGTAAGTTCCATCCTTTCTTCCGTCCCTCCATTGTCATTTGGGTTCGCTTCAGCATCCGTGCCCTCTCGGGTGTTCCTCGTGACCCGCATACCTCATGAATTCCGACTCGCAGCGTGCTGCCCGGCCCGGGGAGCGTTCGACGGGAGCATTTTCCTAAAATCCGCGGAATCGAGACGGGAAATTCGTTTGGACGGTGCGTTTGTTATGGCTCATTGTTGTCCCCTTGCTTTTTCCCATCGAGACGTGTTCGTTATTATCGCGCAACGGCGATCCTGGAATTCTCGTGGAATTCTCGAAGAAAGAGTTCGAGAGAAGCTACTCGGTTGATATAGTCTCCGACGAGGCATTTTTTTCGTGTCCTTACTTCGAAGCAGGACCATCGGAGTACATTGTAGTTAACTTTCTTGTGTCACGCGTAGCAGCGTGTTTTGGAGCTTTCTTTTGTCACTTCTTTTCTCCAGGTTTTCTGAAAGTTATATTCTTCTGTTTCGAATATCAGCACAGAAATATAAATCTTACAATTTCATTAATTTCATTTCAGTAATAATTGCCAGCTTTCAATTCGTTCGGTTCTCAAGATCATCGTTACTCTCGTCTAGAGTCGAAAGATCAATCTCTTTCGACTGAACTCGACAAAACACCAGCTACTCGCAAAAACATTCTTCTTTAGTTCTCCATAAAGAGAACGCAAGATCCCTGTCCAATAAGAATCCACAAATTACCAGCGAACGATAGAAAGAATGATATAAGATCGCCGTAAACGATTTCCACCTTGATCTTGTTCTTGGCCCGATGGCAAACGACCACGTGACCGGAAAGAAATCGACTTGGACCGATTTCCCGGCGGGTTTTTACGAATGCCACGAGGAACGTTACCGTTTCGTGGCCGGGGGACCGTGAAACGCGATGAATGGGAGCCGAGTTTACCAATAGTTTCGGAGCGGCAGCGACTTGCCAAGAAATTCCGGCGTCTTTTCATTCGCGCGTAGATTCCGTAAACATTCGCCGCCCCGCGCGTCGCCTCGCGACGAGAACGCGGCACGGTTTACGTTTACCTAGCCGATTGAGCCCTAAAAATTCCAGCGAGTTCGGGAATTCGCGCGGCAAATGGTGTTTGCTCGGTTATATCGCCGCGACAAACTCGATCGGAAAAAAGAGGTGACGTCGTTCCTCGTGTTGCTATCGATGGAATCCCGAATTGAGACTGCCTAACGCTTTCCAAAGGCCGATCTTCGAGGTTCGATCACCGTTTATAGCGCCATTGCAGTCGAACATTGGAATTCTTTGGGTTTATTCATTGTAGTTTGATGTTTAACGTGGTTCAGATTTGTCGATCAAGTTGTGTTTCTGTTGTCGATGCTTTCCTTTCAGTATGGAACTTAAAAATAGAGAGAATAGACAACGGAGCATCTATATTGGAAGTTGATTAAAGATTAAGTTATGAAGATGAAGATAAAATTGGGTTAGTTTTAATAAATGATGTATCTGTTATGAATAAGTATACTTTATATAAAAAATGTTGATCTTCGACGCTTCTTTACACTATGCCCGAGATACTCCAGCTTAATGTTCATGCCTGTAGTTCCATTATATTTTCAAGAACCTCTTCGCCGAGTTTCCCGCTCCTTCCATTACTTACGACATCCAAGTTTCTCTTTGTGAAAAATAAATCTTCCGCGGGATAGCGTCTTCTGTCAAGGATAAATATTATTAGAAGTTGCCCGTGTATAAAGAGTTCAAAAGATTGTTTAATTTTTACTCGGCGAGTGCCCGCGAGGAGCACCGCGACAGCGATGGAACTTTTCCGACAAGAAGCACCGTTCTCATTTATCGAAGCTCGGCACGAATGTATCTTTCTATCGATGAACCCGTTATCTCGTAATAGGACTAACGACGATAACGCTCATTAAAAATCTACTACATTGCTATCATCGTTTAACCATTAAATTCACTCGAACTCGTAAATCCTCGAACCTCTCGAACAAATATCCAGTCGTAAATATAAAGTTCCCGTTTCATCCAACGAATGACCGCACAATAAAATAACTCGGGAACCGTTTCAAGTTCTCCGTGTTAGTTGAAAATGCCGGTCAATTCTATGGACACCTCGCGTTTCCATTCGGTTTATTATGCGTTCACGAATACGCGCGCAGCAAGGTCGCGCGACAACGACAGCCGCGCGCTGCAATAAGGTCCGAGCGTCTAATACTCTATAAAACTGGAATATAAAGGCCGACAATGGCGGGGCCCGGTGTCGAACAACAATCGCGCCCTCCTGGAGCGCGCACAAAGGCGCCGCGTCGGCCGAATGGCGTCCTCCACGCGAATACGATCTATTATTTCGGTGCATGTGTTCCCTTTATTCCGCAACGATCGCGGCCTCTTGCCCACGATCCTAGGCTTTCGCCGGCCCGGAACCCGGAAACCACCGTGGCTTCCTTGTAAGCCGAGCTTTCTTCCGGTTGAAAGGTCGGCTGGGAAGCTCGTGATGGAACAACGCCGACGAGACAAACCCGAGCTCTTTCAACCCCTTGTTTCATCACGCTATGGCTCTGATTTCCACTGAAAATTCCGCGATGAAGTTGGCGATCATTTATCACGCTGTGGCTCTGATTTCTGCTGGAAACTTCGCGATCAATTTTGCGATCATGAATCTCAACGCATTGAGCGCCGGCCCCGTGAAAACGTGGATTTCTGGACTTCCATTTCTGGATTTGACGAATATGCAATTAAAATTACTACTATTTTACGAAAATGTATAATGTTTTGAATATTTTTTTTGGCTACTCATTGATCAGATACAAGCGAACCTTTGGGCTAAGTGGCCGATACGTTGCCGGCGATCAATGTGTTAAGAAATCCAGAGAAATGAGAGCACGGCGCCTATTTTACGATCTTTCCCGAGGAGGACGCGGAAATCCTGCCGGGCAGTGGTCTTCCCGCCTCTGTGTTTCTCGTTGTGTGGGCGCGCTCGGGAAAAAATCGCTTAGAAAGTGTGCGCACCTTTCCGCTTTACGCTCGCCGGGAATATGGGACGGCCGGCTGTTTCGCGAAGAAAGCGACGCTTCGTTTATAATTTTCGTTTGTACAGGCTGTCTTAAAAGCTTGGAACTCAGCTTATGGTATATGTTAACGAATTCTAGGTAAGAAAAGTTCGATTGAATTTGTATGAATTCGAAGAAGCTTCGTTGAAGAGTTACAAGCGTTCAAAAGCTTTTCATTGCGAATTTTGTTTTGAAATATTTTTCTATGTATCGAATTAGCGGCAATAACAACAGCAAAAACAAAAGGCATAAACCAACTGGTCGAGTTCTGTTCCCAGTTTTTGGGAAACCTTGTATCTCGAGTCGGCGAAACAAACTAACGAATCGCAATAACGCCATTAACGTATACCGGAAAGCACCGCACTGCTGCGCGCTGCCTTTATTTCTCGGGTTCCCCTTGCACAATGGAACACTGCCAGCTGTAAGCAACGTTAACGAATACATTGTTTACGCGGTGTACGGTATATTACGCGTTTATTGTTATATTTTAGGTAGGCGATGTAAAATAACGAATCGCGATGGTAATGTTCGCGTACCCCGAGGAGAATGCTCTGCTTGTCCGTTCTCTTTATTCCTTGGGTTCCCTTGAACAATGAAATGCAACTTGGCGATGTTACCGAGCGCAGTGTGTAACTCGCTAATACCATGAGTTCGTTGTCTTCGAATTTTATGGTCCAGGCCGGTGAGGTGAAGTAACGACCTGCGATGCAATGTCCGCGTATCTTGGAAAACGTTGCGCTGCTTTGTTCTCTTTATTCCTTGGGATCTGTTGTATGATAAAATGCGACTTTGGATTTTGTACGTCGCATTAGCGAAGTAAAGTGACAAATTATAATAATTTGTTCGCTTCGTTTAATGAAATTTCTTGCACGGTCTAGTCCCAGTTCGTAAAGCTAATTGCCATGGTTTTTAACGAGCTGGGATATGAATGTTTCAGCGATTAATTTATTGAAACAAAGTCAAAGTCTCAAAGAGATCCAGATTAGCAATCCATAGTTTGGAGAAATGTTATTTCTATCTAGAAATCTGTCGTCCTCCGAGTAAATGTTACTAATTTATTTCCGTTGAGAAATAAACTAGTAAAAAGGGGACACCGTTGAAAAATGATAATAAAGCAGGCTCAATTACGTTGTACGTCTCGTAAACTACGTCGTCGTCTTCTCGTTAACGTCTTCCTCGCCGGCGACCCTCCGCCCGCCCTTTCGCCCTTTGTTCCTCGCGTAATTACCGTCGCCGTAAGAAATAGCCGCGTTCCATTCAAATATTTTTGCGAGCTTGGAGGCAAGAAAATGCAGGAAAAAGTGGTCTCGGAGAGTTTCGCTCGTGGAAAAACGAATTGCGCGCATGTAAGTATTTGGTCGGAAGGGAAGTGACATCGGTCTCGTGGGTAATGCATAAGTGCGGGTTAATGGACGAGCATAATTTATCATAGCTTACTTTACCCATCATCAATCATACTTTCAGTTTTTCATCATTCTACCATTCCATCCTCATGCATTTCTCTATTCTCTCCAATAAATTCTTATTACATTTTCAGTAAATTATCCTTTTTCCTTTCGATTTATCGCTGGCCTAGATCACATAGCGATTATCAGACGCGTCGGAACGATCAATTGAAAAACTTCCACTTCACGCTTACCAAAACGCATTGCCACGAGAAACGGTGGAATAAAAATCGAGCTTTCCACTTTCTACGGGGGATTACAAATCGGTCAGCCTAATTGCTCGGCGGTCCCAGCGTTAAGCACGAATTATCCGTTAGAAAAAGCCGAATGTCGCCCATGGAACGTGTTCCCATTAAAGAGCCAAGATTATTTTCCGCTCAGCTCGATGCATTACGCGCGACCACGCTTCACCGCGGATGCACCGAATGAAAAATGTTGTGAGCGGACGGGTCGTTTCCATTGTTCCGCGGTTTTCGTTCCTCGCGTCGGTTCTTGCGTCGGTCACTGTCGACCGGCCACGGTGAATCGGCGATCCAGGCGGTTCGGCGGCCGATTACCATTTTTCCGCAGTTAATTCGGCGACGCCGGGGCTACCATCTCCGTCGTATATACCCGTAACGTCGTTTCGTCGCAATATTACGCGAATCGATCGCGAACGGGGCCGCGTTACAACCGGGATCGTTGCACCAGCGTTGCAAGTTTCAGATGCAATTACGTTACAGCATCGCGTGAAAGTTTAGATATCCAACGGCTCTCCTTCTCTCTCTCTCTCTCTCCCTCCGCCTGTCGTCTTTCTGTCTTTCTCTGTCTCGCGCGCGCACATACAGTGCCGCAGTCTAGAGATCGCAAGTGTGCTCGATTTTCTATAATTATTGGACCGGATATTTATGCAAATTCGCGGTTTTACGAGCATGTTTGGAACGGCCGGAATTACCTCCGATGTTTTCGTCGACTCGCAGTTTAATTCCACGAGGATTGCACCGAACGTCGCGCGATACTGCTGGATTTGCTCGGTGATTATCCTACTTTTCGCTTCGAAATTGTTGTTTGGCGTCGCGTACACGAGTACTCGAATTAAATGCATTCTTCATTTTCAATCGGTTCTCTACATATTCCTCTAATTTTTATTCGAGCAGTCAAACCTTATTAATCGTCCAGCTATCTCACTTGTTATTCAGTTCAAAACAGTTACTGTAATAATATTCTAGATCCAGTACAATCAGCAGCCGATAGAAAAGATCACAAGCTCGATAACTCGACTAACTCACAGAAACTCGATTTCTCGTGTAACTCGCCGAGAAATGAAAAAAAAGGAGAGTCACAAACCGAAGAACCCCGGAAAGTTACGAAGTTGAATCGATGAAACGTGTATATACGCGGTACGCGAGCGCGTTCACAAGTAGCCGAAGAAGTTCGTCTTCCAGGAGCTGCCCGCGTTTATCTATCCCCGATCGGGCGGAATTTGCTTTCGAATCGCGGCGGGATCTCGTGCCCGTTATCTCGTTATTATATACACCGGTGCAGTATGCATTCAGGCTTTTAGCCTGGCCGGCTGAATTTAAACACGGCATTAACTCGAATCACCTCGAACGGGCCCAGCGCACGCCACGATCGTATCGCCGTCTAATGTCGGCCAGCGCGCCTGTGTACTACGAGATCGGCTGACCGATCAACGGCACGAGATCATTCTTTTATCGGGCAAGAAAGTACCAACAGAGAAAAGAGTAGTAAATGTTGCACGGCAAGGTCTGCTCGAGCTTTATTGCTCCAGTCGCGCTGCTCTCGCCATTTTTCACTTGTTTTATGTTAAATTTCCCTTGCGCACGGTTGCTCTAATTTTCTGGATCCTTTCTCGTCTACTAGGTTTCAATTTTTCAATTCAAGTTAGACTATACAGCGAGGCGACTCGGATCACAGGGCGAATTAGATCAAAATATGAATCCGATCAATATTCGTTGTATCGCAAATTGTTTCTCATTGTTTTGAAAAATGTTTAAATTGTTTATTTTTTAGTAATGCAATTCCTCTTTTTACGAAACAGCAATATATTTAAAGAGTTAGTTAAAATGATTAGTTGCGATGCAAGACTTTCTCGTTCATCAAGGAGTTCCATGACGAGCATCTTTCAGAATGAAATTCCCCATGTGTAGCGTACGATATCTGCACTGTTGTTACTCTCCTTTAAACGAAAAGGACCGTATATCGTTCACGCGATCAGTTCTCTGCTGGTAAATACTTTTCAAAGCAGCTTTCGAAGCATTATCTTGAAGAGTCTTTTACCCGACATAAGTTGCGAAGCTTAGGAAGTTATCCACGCTCCGTTAGGGGTCCTCCACCTTCTCTCGCTCCGCCTCTATTATTTCCTCTTCTTTGTCCCCATAAATACTGTGCACTACGTGCACGCCCCATACAAATAGAATATTCTATGAAACGAAAATGTAAAGTGCGCGAAAGTGTTGCATCGACGAAACTTGAGCGATGCACCCCAATTCTGGTTTCTTTCTTCTTCGTTCTGTTTTCCTTCGGCTCTTTCATCGTTTTCAATCCCTTGGTTACGTTGCTCGGTTATTCCGTGACTTTTTACTTTGCTAACGTTATGAAATATTAGCATAATATTGCAATGATTACGATAATGTACTAGATGTTTAGCTTGATATTGCAATGGATATTCAAGTACTATCAAATATAACGCTAAACGATAATACAAAAATCATGATAATTACGCTAAATAATAATATTATAAAGTACACTATAGAAATTCTAATAAAATGTACCTCGGAATTTAAAAAAAAGCTCGATCAACGTCCTCAATATCTATGTACAAGCTTTCATCTCCTTTCCGAGAAAGCTGCTTTAATGAAAACGCCGGACAGATAATGGGGAACTGCTTCATAGGAGCCGGTTTTTTTGCAGAATGGCGCCCACAGGCATGCCGCCGGTCACCGGTGTCCTGCAGCCTCCCGCGGGCTCGACGCTGGCGGGGTCCACTATGTCCAGCCACAAGAAAAGCTGGTGGAGGAAAGTGGCCCCCTGCCTCGCCTTTCTCGCGGCTTTTTCCACCGCCATGGCCTTGCTTCTCGTCTGGAGCGAAGCTGCGGCCTTGAGGTGAGTTTTTTCATTTTGCCAGCCGAAGGAGGAAAAGGTTTTACAGCTGTCACCGGTGCCATTACACATTCCGCGGAAACGAATCGAGATCTTTATGTAGCAGGCGACCCATCGAAGCCGTGTGCTTTGATTCACCGACGATCAAATCATTGGATTTTTATTAAATTTCGTATTAAACAATCATGGCGCGAGAAGTCTATTCGTTGGTTAATTGGGCCTTTCAAATTTTATACCGGTTTCTCGGTATATCAAACGTGACGTTTTTACCAAGAATTGTGTGCGGATTGTATCATTTTCATTGCGTTTTTAATGAACTGATCGTGTCTGTTACATAATTCGAGAACGAGAGTTACCCTTAAAACATATCTCATTCTGATTTATGGTCACGTGCGACCGTTCCACGAGCCATTAGTCTTTCCTGATACACGGAAGAAGAAGTACAAAAGGAAGTCACCGAAGGTACGATTTATTTTCGAGGACGTCTCAATTAAAGAATGAGCTCGAGATTTCTCGAAATTATACGGATCGCTCTGTCGATACCATAATTTCAATCGAATTGCAGCGCAAACCAGTCCAAGATGCAACTTCGAAATCGCATGAATCACGAACGAAGTAACTGTTCCACGGTCCCATTGTTCCAGTGATTAAGGTTTACGGCGGCTTAAGCGCTCCCCGAGCGAATCTTTACTTTTCCTCCTTTTTTTCGTTGTCTTCCGCAAGAAAGACTGCTCTCCAGTTTTACGGGTCCTCCCTGCCCGTGGAATCCCACGGTTTCGTAATTTCTTAACGCGCGGGGGAACGTAAACATTTTTGTTGCCCCGTAAACTAAGAGCTGCTCCTCGAGTGCGCCCGTATTACTGCGCCACTATCTGCCTTTACGGTGCTTTCTATCGAATGAGCAATAATGCTCTGTGACGAATTGAACAACCTGCTGAACCGACAACCTCCACGTCATCTTTATTATGATCCCTTTTGACGAGCCGTTCATTTCGCTCGTGGCAAGATTACTTTGGCTCTTCGAACTACATGCGATTCGTAATTCGGTTTACGTCCAGTACGTTTCGATTACACTGTAACGTTCAATCGTTGAAATTGTAAATAATCAATTTGTCTGTTACGCGTTAATTATAGCGTGAATCAGTGTATCGCCTCCTTTAACATAGCACAGTGATTTGTCTCGAGACTATGCAACGAAAGAAGATAAAACTTCTGTTTAACCCTTTGCACTCGAGAAGTGACTCAGTCACCACTTGATTTGACACAGTAAGACTATGGAATGTGATATTTAATGTTAAACTTTGTATAATGCCTCGATACGTGAAACATTGGAACAAAACAGCTTTGTTCCTCGATGCACTGGCGATTTCTCTTCGAATTAGTAAGAAATTCTGGTAAGAAACATCCGAGTGCCAAGGGTTAATACAATACAATCGTTAACGCTGTCATTAAATACAATGTGTTAATTCTACTTCTGTACGTGAGAATTCCTCAATAGGATGAAATAAAGATCCTCGAATAAAACGAGAGGAAGGGGCGTTGTTGCTTTTAATCAATTTTCCCGGCGTTCCCCGGGAAAACGGAGGCTCCGTAAATTAGTGCCGCGCATAAAGATATATCCGTGGATAATTAATGGCATTCCACGGCGCGTCGCGTCGGTGAATTCACAATCTCAGCCAATTTACCAGGACAAATTGCCGTGCCGCGGAATCACGTTTGCGCCGCGCAAAGAGTGGCGTTGTCGCTTTTTCCCGTGGACACTGCTCCGCGGAGACGTTAACTGGCCGCGGGATTGTTAGACCGAGCTAATTACTAGGTCACCCGATGATTATCATCCTTTTCCCTTCGCCGGTTGCGCCGAAGACTATTAACGTCGCTCGACAATGAGCTTACAGAGGGGAAAAAGTCCGTTGAACGATGCTTGTTAGCGTCTAAGGCGATTACTGTTAACACCGAAACATTATGAAAAGTTGATGATTGTTGCGCGAACACGTTTGCCCCGGCAGGATTGCGCGATTTGAAATGTAAATTCCAAGGAAACGAGCAGCTGCTTCTCTAATCGTCGCTCGCACTCCGTTAAAGCGGAGAGCGCTCATTCGATTGTCCCTTTGTTTCGCGGGAAAAGGATCGGAACGGTGGAAGAACGCGGTGAGAAATGTGTAACCGGTATGTGGATCGCGATATTCCACCGAGCGAGAGTCGTAAATTAATTAAATCATTGTTGCCAGCGAAAGACCGAAGAATTGAAACGTTTGCTCGCATCAAGCCTTAATTGCACGTTACTTCTTCAGTTGTATGTTTCATTAAAATCATTTTCCTGTGACTCCGTGTACTTTCTTCGACTATCAAGTGATTTTATTGTCTTCGCTTTACAAAGATCGTTAACTTTCTCAAATGGAACGTAGTTTACGTGTCGTTTTTATGGTTTCTCTAGCTTTAATGATCGGTTTATTGGAGGATCGTCGAAGTGATTAAAACAGAAACGAGAACCCGCGGAGTTTATATTTGAATCCTGTAACTGGCTTTCATTTGCTCGGCTCAATTAGATCCTTTGATTTATTATTCTAATGAATCTGGAATAATGGAACTATCTGTCGGAGAGAGTACACGGCATCGCACAGAAATCGCTTAAATGAAATACCTCGATTTTTCTTTCGCAGACCAATTTCACCGACCTATTTCGCTCGCATCGTTTATTTACTAATTAACGCGCGCTTCCCATCGTTCGATAGCGCATCGCAAATATTACTATTTCTATTTAGCTTAACGACTACACTGCGCAAAGAGTGCATATCGACGAATCAATTTAGCCGGTTGCCCTCTGGTTTCTTGCCCAGTTGCTCTCAACGGAGATATTTTATTGTTTATAATTTACGAGAAAATCTGAAAGATGCTATCTTCACTCCGGAGCGTTACAACTAATAACGTTAGAATAGTAGCGTGCGTGTTAAGCGACGTTTATACTTGTTACATTCCATTCGAAATCTTCGCGACGAGTCTGTCGCGATATTGCAGGCCAAGGAGTTGTTAACAAGAGATTCTCCAACGAGAGAAATATCTACGAAAGTTTCTGCGAACCAACGCGAGAGTGGTTCACGAGGAATCGGACAGGTTGCAATCCGTCGCTGAAATCCAGCTGGATATTCGGGCAAACGCGGAAACAGCTTATCGGCACACGCGTTACGTTCTAACCTGTCAGAATTAATGAGAGTGCCAGGCGCGCGCGTGTCCGCGTGCGTGTATGCAGGGCAGGTCCGGGATATTCCGGCAACCAGAGTGGAATAGGCCGATGTTGATGTTTTAATGCATCCATGTCGAGTGTTTTCTTAATTAATATGCATTCGGAGGTCGGTACTTAGGTAATACCTTACGATTTAAATGAAGCAATCAGTTTCTTAATCAAGTTTTATATTTTCCTCCACAATTATTACGGAACCGTAGTCAAACTATACCAACGCGATCAAGTTACACTTAAAAGATTGTCGAAATTTTACCTACTCTGTATTTAATAAGGCAATTCCAGCTGAGACGGTCAAATCTAATTATTCTATATTTTATTTTCTGTTAGATATCAATAATATTTCTGATACACTAGTCCTTTTAAACAAAGGGGACTCTCTCGTACTTGGTATATTTGCGTGTAGCGTGACACATTAAAGCGGACGTGTCGGTTGCAGGAGACAGGCGTTCGACGCGAACATGACCAGGGACTACGTGTTGAACAGCGTCTCGATGGACAACCCGGAATTGGTCGCGTACATCAGGGAGGTTCAATTGAAGCCGACCACCCAGCAAGACCCTCTGAACGCGACCCAGACCACGGAGGAGAAGTACGTGGCGGGTTTAACCGAGGGAAAACGCGAGGGCGTCTACGTCGAGTACATTAGCAGGGTGAGGAACGACCTTTTAATCCGTCTAATTGCTGGGATATTAGCCGAGGCCTCTGGCGATTCCTTCCACCGTCGTAATAATCTCCGTCTCTTCGAGGAATTGCTTCATTTCTCCCAGTAATAGACCGTAGCCTTTTCTTTTTCGAACAATCATCTTCCATCAGGCCGCTTCTTCTTTCCAACTTTCAGTTTCTCTGTTTCAGTCTAGCGATTTAGCTACTCACCATTATTTGTATAACTCCTAGATCTATTTCTCATTTAATCTTTTATACTTCGAATTGAAATGTTCATTTAACGATGATTCCGACTGTTCGCTGTCGTTGAAGGTTTCATCGATTAAGAGATGTTTCAATTTATTGGAGAAAATGCGCACTTACAGGGTATTCGCCGTTCAAATTTTTTAGTAGTTACGAATCACGAGGTTTTCTACGTTCCGCAGATAGGAGCTGTTTCGAGCACCGGTTGGCTAGAACGGAATCTTAGCTGGAGAGGTGTTCTCGTGCTGACTGATCCCAGAAGTTTCTTCGAGGCTCACCGGAGCACTAGAAATCCGAAGACTAGGGTCTTGCACGCTTGCCTTAGCACCGATAAGGATACCAAAGAGGCAAGTGAATAAAGGGATCATTTATTTGATCGGATGAACAACCAATCATCCCTCTTAAAATGAAAAAGAACATTCGAGAAGTTCAAGCATAAATTACCTCTGTCTCCAGTTTTCTAACAAAGGCCGCACATTTGAATTACAGATTACTTATCACCAGGAGTCCGAAGTTCAAGTTACCAAACTAGGAGAAGGCCCTAATAGCCTGGTGTCTTCGGACGAAGGTCTGCCGACGACAAGATTGAAATGTTTCCCTTTGTACAGCGTCTTATTAGCTTACAGCGCCACAACTCTGGACTACCTGAGTTTGGACAGTCCTGATGCTCAGGATGGTCAAGTAAGCATCAACTTTCTCTATCGCGACGATAAGTTAGAAACGTTGGCAATTTTTCAATGAATAATCACGATGCATTCGGTGAAAAATAACGATGTTTGATTTTCGTTTAATTGTCCAGGTACTCGACACGATTCCCTGGGAAACGACGAGAATATCCGTCCTCTCGATCCGCTGGAGTCCTCACCACAGCGAGCTGGAGACGAAGACTCTGATCGACAAGATGACCAGTAGAAGATACAAATTAATGTACACAACCGACACCGGGAAGCTGATCTTCATGTACAACGCGTTACTTAAGATTTGAACGTTGACTCGGGCCGCCTGTAGACACTGGACGATTCTACGTTCCCCATGAAATTCGAAAAGGACACGATGTTTCGCCAAGAAAATGGAAGATCGTTCTGACAGGTGTGATATGTTTCGTTCATCGACAAAACGTAATTGTAACGGATTTACGTAATTTCGTTCTGGTCTTTGAAAGAATCGTTCATTGTCGATCGAATCTTCACTTTTCCAATGGAAACACGTTCCCTCCCTCCGTGATTGGATCGTAGAATCAGTCGAGTTTCTCACGAATCGAGACAAGCATTTCGTTTCCTTTTGCACGAGAGAGATCGCGTTGATCGTCGATACAAAATCATTTTTAGTTTCCCCGTTGATTCTTCCCTCGCGAACGAATCGTGAAATCAGTCAACTTCCTCGCGAATCGAGACGATTGTTTATTTCCCTTTTCGACTCGAGCCATTGCGTCGATCGTTGCTAAAAAGTCGCTTTTATTGGGTCACCCTAGAAGTAACGAGGATCTTTGCATCTCTTCTACTTTTGAAAACACTGGCATCAACAAAACTGTTTCTAATCTAATTATAATCTACAAATAGATGACCTATAGACAACAACAAAGAATAGGAAACTAAAAATAGTTTCATTTATCTTAATTTCAGAAAATAAAAGAAGCGTAGAAAAGCCTTGTTACTTACGGGATGACCCAGTAGTCACGCAGCGACCCGAGACACGCGACAAACGACACGCGACACACGACGAAGACCGAGCGCCGTAACAATGGCGTTCGTGAGTCCGCGCGCGGCGCGTCGGTCTCGAATTACTTCGTTTCTCGCGCGAAACGAAAGCTTACACGCCGCTCGGAAGCGTATTCCGGAAGAATAGACGAAGACTAAGAGGAACGAACTCGACAGTTCAGTTTCGTTCTCGTATTTTAGCGTAGGTTCGTTTTTTATTCGGATGTTTCAGCCAGTGTAGACGTTTCTTTTTACGAACGATGTATGTATCTACCGTTAGGAGATCACTCGATGGTTAGTCAAGGAATGGCGAGGCTCATTGATCGGTTTTCATTCTTTTTCGTACAATTTTCTGCTTTACATTTTTCTGCTTTTGATCGAAACTATAAAACTGTAAACTGGGAAGACTCTTTTTGCCTCTGCGCCATTCCGCTAGACATCGAGTCATCGCCCAACTGTACATATGTAGATGTTTCTTATTTTTTATTTCGTCAATTGAGCGACAGCTCCGTGGTTCGATACAGATAAACACAGTTCGTACGGGACGTTCTTCGCGGACACCGCTGTCGCAGTGATAACAAGTTACTCTGATTACCTACACCACGGGCCTTACTAGCACGTAAGTCGATACTTAAGATAAGGTATTGTAGAATTACGCGAACCGGCCGTTTGCGCTTCGATTTTGTCATTGACTCAACGACTCCACCTGTAATCGTCACTTCAATTTCTTTTCCCTCGACACTGGAACTACCGAGTAATTCGATTGACTTATCTATAATTTCGCGTAGAAATCGGAAAAGTACCTTTTTCAAGATTCGAAAACGTCGTAGCTTCCATATGTAGAAGATCCAAACGTAAAATACACATTCCGAGATGGATCATTGTAGGTACTTCCAGCGTTAATATATAGACTGTCCAATAAACTCATCGAAACGTTCTCGATGGAAGGGAAATTGAACAGTTGAATTCTAAGAAAGCCAGTCTATGCGTGAACGTGAAAATTTGATGATTCTTGGTGGAGCCTACGCGCTAGGGAGCATTAAGCTACATTCTCGTTTGAACTACGCGAAGGACGTGCTCGAAACTTCTGCTCGAGAAGACGAACTCTTCGAGTTGGTTTCAAAAGACATTGATACCCTTGGGAAGATGTTTCGAGCGCGTCCGCAGTGGTACGTTCAAGAGGCAGCGTAGCTTGGCAGGGGTTACTTTCTTCGATAAAGTTCGTGGTTCGAGCTGACTGCCATTTCTTCGCTTTTACGATGATGATTAAGTATCCTCCTACACGATCTCTTTTATTTTACTAATTTTAATCGGGTGATCGTCCGTCAGTGAACATTAATTTAGGCTTTCATTGATTTTTCGTAGATTCGTCAGCATTCTTCAGTTCATAGATGCTTCGGTACTCTAAAGTTTACTTTCTCTCCTCCGATTAACTTTGTCTTTCTTCCACTAATTCCACGACTAAATCACTGCCAGGTCGAGCTAGTCGTAATACGTAATCCAGGTCGTTAGCTGGATTTATTTTAGTACTTTCAGTCACCGAAGTGGCGGCTATACATCAGAACCCACATCACTGTCCTCCGGAACTTTCTACCGAGTTCATTAACTCGATTCATTTTATTAATTTCAGTTTCCGAAGAGTCTCCTATATATCACTCTCTGCATAATATCATTATAATCTGTGCATCTCCACCGAGCTCATTAATTCGTCCCCTTCTACTAGCTTCAGTAATATAGGTCCTCCTATCCCCTAAACTGTCTAACCGTGAACTAGAAATCATTCTCAAGTTCATCGATTCGTCTTAGTTTATTTTTCTGAGTTACTACAGTGGTTCCTAAGCAACCGAAGGATCATTAAGTTCGTTAATCCAATTTATTTTACTATTCTCACTTGCTGAAGAGGATCACCCAAACATTATGCTCTCTGTAGAACGTCGTTGTCATTGAAAAACGTCTCGACATGAATCGAGAACGTTCCTGTCCGCGAAAGTAACCTCTGATTCGGTTGACGAACCTGTTTCCAGCGGTGAATTCGAACTTTGTAAAATTCGGCGTCGTACTCCGCGATTCCGGTTCAGCGCGATACTTAATTATGCTCTCCGTGGGATGAAGTTCATAGAGTTCATCGGCCGTTTCGACGAGCACCGGATCGAGCGGATTTATTCTCGATCAACCGGCTCGTTATTGCGCCTGTGAGATCGCGTAGCGTTCGAATGGAACAGTAATTGTGTCTAATTCGATGGATGACGACTTTATCAGTTTCGTGCAGCGTTCGGATAGACAAACGACGAAGCTCAATACACAATAATTCCCAGTGTTTTCCGATGATCCGTTGATATCGTTCCTCGGATCGATAATGATTGCTGTAATCGCTGATTTCTAGTATTCTACGTTTGATATTCGCGCGCGTCGGTGATTACGAAGCGGCGAGTCACGTATGTTTGATTTTCGGACACTGCGATCAGTAATTTAGAATAGTATTTTACAGTGAAAAGAATATTTTAACAGGTTACATCAATCAGAAACGAATGATAATTACAGTTTAATTTCTTTTTTGAATCTGTGACTCGAATTACTTCGCTTTAGGATCGCCGACGCGTATGCTGTAACATTCTTTCCCTTTGCCTCGAAACGTTTGTACGATTCATTTCGAGAGAACTGAACGGATTCTTTTGGAGAACAATAAAGGTAGATATTTTGGATGATTTTTGACCTCCTTGTCGAGTGTACCTATGATAGTATTTCCTTTTCGTGGTCTAGTACGAGTGAGTGAGGACGTTATAAGAACGTACATCACAAAAATCTACACCTTCATAATACTCTATTAATCCTTCGTTAGTCGATTGCACAATCTATTCCCATAAGAAAACCATCGCTCCCATACAAAAATCTCCAACGATCCCTGACAAGCGACAATCGGATCCCCTGAAAGAACAATAAGAGAATTATTCCAGGAAATTAGCTGTTCTCGAAGCACTCGTTAACCAAACACAAATCCTCCTGCCGCGATGAAAGGCGTTTACGTGGCAGCTTCCGCAATATCAAACACCGTTCCCATTAAAAAGTCTTTTCCCTCCATCCCCCAGCGCATTCCTGCAATTCATCGCCGCGACCCTCCCTGAAAATTGCGCAGGCTCCCTCCCTTTATCTCTGAAAGAACACTTAACCCGCCCCGGAACTACTTTCGAAATCATCCCGAATGTGTCGGGTCTCTCGGGGAAACAATAAAGAAAAAGACTTTGAGAGATTGCGCGTTGCATCCGGGCTCACCTTCTCCTCTTCTTTATCTTTCCGCGGCGCTTGTATTCCAACTTTTTTCCTCACCTTTTCTCCGGTTATCTTTTCTCCGACTCGCGTCCGAACTTTCTTTCCGTTCGTTCCCTCGGTTCCCCTCCCTCCTCCCCGTTCCACGGAGCGACGCGTCGTGTTTCTCCGAGCAACGCTCGGTTGAAACTTAAATTAAAACTGCGCTGTAATTCATCGATAAAATATGTCGGCCCTTTTTACCGGGAATCCCCCGTGTTGCGCGTTCGCCGTGAATTATCGGCGCTTCGCGCGAACCGTGCCGCTTTCTGAACGGGCCCTCGCGCATTTTTATGAACCGAGAATTTTTTATTCCGCCGTGGCACCGAGGGGGAGAAATTCTGGCGAGTCCGAGCAAAAAGTCAACGGAGATGGATAGGGGCGGGGAACGCGCGGCTGATAACGCCGGGAACGTTTCTCACTGTCCGGTTCTTTTTGGCAATCATTTGACGCGTCGGTCTTTTGGCTCGTTGGATCAGGAAACGTCGCTTCTCTCAGATTTCTAATGGTCTTTCGTTTATTCATCGCTGACGGGTCGAGGGAGGACTTTGAAATCGATTCTTTTCAGCGATAGTAACTTCAAATTGAATTCTTTAACCCCTTGTATTATTTACTCTTGCTACTAAGCTCGTGCAGAATGTTTCTATCAGCACTTTGGAAAAAACGCAAAGAAATTCTCCACTGCGCTCTATGTACAAATTCTCTTTCAAGATAATATATTGATAATAACAAAACAGTTGTTTGCTTTGATCCATGCGCATTGAACAATATTCATGTTTATTGAACTAATCTCGAAATCTTCATCCGAGTCTCACTCGTCATTGTACTTAAAGGGAAAGTAATTTTACATTATAAAGTTTGCGTTTTTTGATATGGAATATACGAATAACAATGAATGAATTAACTACAGGAATTTGGTATAGCACTCAGTGTGTCGTATATTGTGGCATTGATGCTGTAAGGGTTGAAACGTTTTAGAATTGGCTATCCGAAGACAGTGATTTGTTGAACCGGGAAATTGAAATGTATTTGATTTCGTCTATCATCCCTTGTCATGGTTCTACAATGTTTTTGTTCACGATCTACAAACGAAAAACGCGCGCGGAACGGAACCCCTGGGGCTGGCCAATATTTTCTGGGACCGTGGACCTCCTGTGTCGAATTTGTTTGCTTGCTGCGAAGCGATCGGCCGTGTAAATACGAGACTGAATTATAAAGTGCACTTTTTCTTTGTTTATAGACTGCAGATGTTTCTGCGACTACGAAATTTTATGGGTTAATTCGGAAAACAACGGAAACCACGTACGAGACGTTAATTTGTACACGATCTCTAATCTACTGAATTGTAGATAATATACACGAGGTAAAACCAAATGACACGTTAAATTAATTACATAAAACGAGGGTAGTGCATTTCTACGAATCCATTAAAACAGAGCACATCGCAGAATAATGACTGAATGGACTCAAACTGGAAAGGCTGTCATAAACAATAGATTTACGTCAACTCGACGGAATACCGAATTATAGAAGCATTATTCAATGAAAATTCCAATCGATTTTAATTAACACAATTATGCGAACACGTATCCTAATTCCCAGTTCTCCAAACTCTAATTGAATCAATAAGCGGAGCTTCAAAATGAGCTTTTAATCACGTACGTAATACGTATATATACAATTTAACGAATAAGGTAAAAATAAAGAAGTAATTCCTCCAAAAGCAATCCAATGAACTGCGTAATAAAGGTGAATCCAGTTAGCTCGCAACTTAATTCAATTGAGTCTGCGATGGTGTCCGTTTCAAAGAGAATAATGTCCTCGTTAATCCCGTCCCCAGTTTCCATGAACTCTCTCCCGAAGAGCTTGTCGCTGTTTCGCGAAAAGGTGGACCTAACAAAAAGCTACTTGCAGGGTGGCAAAAAAATGAGAGAAGGGCAACAGAGGGAGAAAAAACACGAGACGGATAGCTGAGTAATCCCACAGAGAATTTCCCTTTTTTGATCCTCCGCCGGAAATTGCATTTCGTCCCGAGACCAGTTCGCAGCGCTTTCCTTTTCGATTTTAATTAATTAACTTTCACAGAGGTTCCACGCGGTCCCGGCTGATTTTTTCGGATCCCCCACGACCGCACGCGATGCGGACCAATCGCTTGAAAATTGGGTCAGCCTATAAATAATGCGGTTTTTCGTGGAAGCGTGCGGCCGCGCAATAAAAGGGCGGCCATTTGTTCGCGATAAATTTCGCGTAGGCGTAACGTTCATTCTCTTCCGCTGTCGGCGAGTCTCCGGCCATTCCGGTCGATTGTACTTCTGGGTTCTGCGAGTGAAACATCGTTAACCTCTTCTCCTTTAATATCGGGTCGGACACGCAATGAAAATTTTCAATCGAATTCGACGGATCCAAGTGCTATTTATTTATTTCTCTCTCGTAAGAACGAACTATCGCTTTAAGTTCTTTTCCTTTTCAACTAAATTAGTAACGACCAAGTATTTTTATCGAGAGTTGCGGAAGAAATCATAGGTTAACAAATTGTGACAAGTATGACAAGTTTGAAATATCAACAGAGGAAAAGACCATACGTTAGTCTCTCGTTAGCTGAATAATGAAATTATTCGTTTGCAATTTTCGAGTTCAGATATCGAAGTTCGAAGTCGCCATTACAGCGGTATTCGACCGCGAGGGGTTAAGTAATCGTAGAACTCGGTGACCTAGTAGGAAATGAGATCATTATGGTGATCTAGGAAATATTCTGCACTCGGTGTTGGATCACTGGGTGAGTCATGAGGTGTGGAAAAATTTTCTATCGTTTAAACACATAGATTCTATCTTCTGTAAATATTTCTATAACCGTTTTCCGGTGGACTGCAGAGTTAATCGCAAGCGAAACACACGATAATAACCGTTACAAATACAGCATTCTTTACTCTTGCAGCAGGAAAAATATTTCTGTTGGATTATTCATTCGAGAATTGATTTTCATTGCATCGTTCCATAGATTATTTAAGGTACAACGACGAGAATACGTGGATTACTTTCAGTTGAACGTTCCGATTTGTAAAATAAATTTATTTCGTTGAAGAAATACGACTTGTCTGTCGCCATTTTGAAACCCATACCCTGGAAACGTGGAATTCTGCATTTTTATTGGGTAGAATGGATCTTTTTAATTGTATGCTTACATGGGATTATTATAGAAATTCTTAATGTACTCGTTTATTTGAAGTTTAAATTGTGCGAAGCGCTATGGTTTCATCGCTAATCAGCGTTTAACCGAATTAGCGACGATAACGCCTCGTCAAAGCCAATTTGCTCGATCGCGAACGACCGCAATGAAACGCAGCGCTGCGAAAGGCAACCGGTGCCAAATTTCCAATTTCTAGTCAAATTGAAGGTAATAACAAGACACTCGAACTTTTCTCGTAGAACGTTTGTCTCCTGATGTAATTTCTGCACGCTGCGGGATTAAGTAAGATCGCGGCTTAAAATCTAATCTGACGAGGAAATCAATCTTTGATAACGCTTTACGGCTTGCCAGGGTATAGCCTTGGCACTGTTATGTGAAAATCTGACAGCAGTAGTTTGCTCCATCTAATTAAATGCGTTTCGCATTTAATACATTAACGTTATTATACATTTTTCAACAACTGCAACCTCCCGATTCGAGTAACTTTACGAGCTTGCAACTACTCACTGCGAAAAATTCTTTAAAAATTCAAAATAAAATGAATCTTAACAGTTTGAAATTTAATTTCACAAACTCGCATGTTGTCGATTTTCGCGCGTTCGGGATGCGAGAAGACTAGCTGCTATTTTTTGTATCGATAGTCAACATTGATGATGTTTAAAGATTCAAATAGAATGGACTTTTCTAATAAACGATTAACGAACCGATACTAATTTTAGCCGTCACAGTTGCGAAAGTGATCGTACGGCAGAGGGTTAAGATAAGTTACTTACATACGATACCAACTGATTTATCGCTGGCCGTATATCAATTCGCGCGTCAACCACTCGAGAAAATCTTTTTGCTCGCACGTTCATAAACCCGCAATAAACGGTACATAACTGTTCAAACAAGGAAGCCCGAATCGCGGCGGTCGGTAAACGAGCATCCGGATTTTTTGCGCGCGGTTTGTACGGTCAACACAGGAGACGCGTTGTCTCCGCGATCGCTGAATTCGTTCGGGATGATAATTGGAGTCTCGTGACTCTCGTCGCTGATTTGTCTCACTCGTAACATTCATCTCAGACACTTGTTTATTTATACAGCTATTTCAGTGAAATATTTATTTAAAGATGCGAATTACCATTCTCGGAGCAACAGTGGAAGCTGGCGCGTCAGAATGAATTTATGCAAATTCATTGAAATGAATTCAAATGAATTCAAATTAGTTTGGATATAATAGGTTTCATTCTTCGCGGTTGCCATGATTCACAAATAATACATCGCAATGTAATATAATTATAAATCATATTGTAATTACAATATAATCAAATAATGTGGGGGCAAGTAAGGTAAAGGTTTCTTGCAGCGGAGGTAGTAAATTCCATTGTTCAATGCGAAATTGATCTATTCATTAGTAAAATATTGAACAAGTTCCAATTAGTAAGAATAATAAAGCGCAGAAAGAAAGAATTCAACTCCAGGGTAAGTTCATTGTATAATTAATCCAGCACTTAACACGTTTGCAATCACCATTTCGCCTGCGAACACGTTTGATCCCTTTCTCATGAAATAAACCGTTTCACTCGCGATAGACACAGACCCCCTCGCGCACGATCGACTAATTAGCAGCAGGTGTTTGCTCGGATCCACGTTTTTGTCGAGCAATTTTCAATGACGAGGATTTAATTGAAATTTAGCTCCGCTTTGTCGGCCGACAAGATGGCGGCCCGTCACACGGCTTCCTCTGCCGATCGGCCGTGTTCGGGACCGAACTCGTTCCCTTTCATTAAAAGTTTCGTTCAATTAAAACCCAGGGGAAAAACTTGAACACATTCCACTGTACTTTTTAATTTATCTAAATCCTCCGCAATCTCGAATCTCCCTGCCTGCAATCTTAATAAACTTTCGCACCGTCGAATTAACAGATAATCATCGGCAAAGAAATATTTTAATTAAATATCTCCGCCATTTCTGCCGCGAATTTATATTGAAGTTTATAATTTCCACGGATAAAACGCTTCGTTAATGCGCCTGACAGTTTTATTCCCTGAATTTTCGCCGAGGAGGGATCGAATTCACTCGTAACTTGCCCAGAATGATCGTTTCAACGGCGAAAGTCACCGTGGCGGCGAGCGCTTCGCTGAAATAATTAAATTCCTTCGATTACGGTTGATAACGTATCGATGCGATGATTCCAGTGTCGTTTACAATCGAACTGCGCGGTGTTCCCTGTATTACTGTCCAATAACTGGCTCTATGTGGGTTTTATCGCCACCGAGAATTATCGCCGCGACAAAGAACGGCTGTATTGTTGTCGGTCGCCGGATTTCGGCTGCAGTCAACTGTAAAAGCGGTTTGTTTCCTGCGGATTTCATGTGCAATCGCTGGAAGATCCACATTGAACTGTGAAAGTAACTTGTTTCACGGTTACAGATTGTAGTAGTAGATTATAAGAGCCGTTCGTTTCCCGCAGATGTCGGATAGAGTCACTGCAAGATGCATTGCGAACTATACAAGCAATTTGTTTCGTACGGAAAGATGCATCGCGAACCGTGGTTCCCAGTTATCCGGTCACGAAATTGTAACACTGTCGACAGACACGCTCCCATCGTGATAGACAGCTTCTCGAAAATTTGATAGCCCGATAATGCCGCTTCAGATACAGGGATTAACTCGCTGAAGAGGGACACTCGAACGCGAGTGATCCATATTCCATTCAGGGCACTCGAAATAATTAACTGATTGGCCTGAATGGACAGAAAAATCAGAACTCTTCGATAAATTTTTATCGATAATTCTTTAATGGCTTGATTCCGTGTCTCTAAAAGTTCGATGGGTTATTTCGGAGGATTCTAAGTTTCATATATACCTTCTTCGACAGCTGCATCTTTATCTTCGAAGAAACGAGTTCTTCTTTCGAGTTGAAACTCGCGTAGAAGCTAAGAAGTTGAGCGATACTAGGAATAACTTCGCGGAAGCTAGGATTCCAATTTTTGCCCCGGTGGGAAGGCCGCGGCGAGCTCTGGAATCGTAAACATGTTGTCCAGCCCAATGGAAATCGATCGGTGTGTCGTGGGCGATATCGATCGCCGTCGGACAGAATGAAAAACGCAATCGTATCTCGCCGGTGATTCTTAAGGGATCAATCGCTTTTCTTCGATGTCCAATTATCTCTGACTTCGCTTTCCAGTGCAGCCCAACGAAGCCGTTAACGAGAGTTTTAATACTTTGTATAATGCAAAAGACTTTAGAATCGCGAAAGGTGATCTCTTAATGTTCATCGGTGTCGATCCATAAAATTACTATTATAACTTGTCATTTATGAAACAGGAAAGTAAAGGAACTTCCATTTTCTATACTGCCCTTTAATAATAAATTGCTCCGATAAATTCACTTACCCTTTCGTACAACGAATATTTAATGCAGCGTTACAAAATTCATTAGCGCGTCGACCGATCTTCCGATCCATCCCCCAACTTTATCGCGAAATTCGTTTCACCCTTAGTTTACGTCGCGAGTAAATAATTCCGTCGCGAAACAGAATTTTTCTAGCACTTTGCAGTTACTGAAGCCAAGTTACAGAAGCCTTTTAAATTACTTAAATTGTCGTTGTAAGCCTGCAAAGAGAATACTCGGGGAAATGTTGTCGGCAACTCGCAGCGAGGTAACTTCTCGGCTGTGAAACGCTCCGCGAGATATACGGCCGGCGACGACGATCCATTTTAATTAAAAATTTATACCGTTACGCGTCGATCGTCCCGGAATTCTTCCCTTCGGCGGTTCTTTTCTTCACCACTGGGACCGCGGATGACTTAGGAAGCTTCGATGATCTCCCATTAGGAGCCACGAGGATCGACAGGATAGAGATGAAACGTCTTCCGAGGAAAGCCTCCTCTAATTCAACGGACACGAAGCTGAGGGACGTAATAATCCATCGCTGCTGCCGGCGAAGATCAACGGAGTTCTTTATTCGGAAATATTACGGGTCTGACGTCAATTAAAATTTGTTGAAATCCTTTTCGGAGAACTGGAACCAAACGAGTGTTCGTTGTTCACGTGTCAAGTAATATGTATACAAGTTTCTTTCTCTTTCAAAGATGGCACATCTTCAACTTTGTTTTCTAGTTATTCGTTCCCAAGGAACTGTTCTAGTTTAATTGTTACAGTTACCACACTGAGAACCCGAATTGTTTCTGAACCTAATAGAAACTCGGGAAATCCGTAATTCAACAATAAACTTCAACGATAAAGTTCGATCGCACAATCCTGTACACATCCACGCTGTAGAACTAAAATTGAGTTACGTCCCAATAAAAGTGTCATAGATACATCTCGCGAGGAAAGAACCAGAGAAAGCATATACCAGGTGAATCAATAAGAAAGCCAAAAGAGGTGAAACGGATCAACGATCAAATCGACCAAAGTGAATTCGTCAGCATCGAGGAACAGGTGGAACCGCTAAAGTTGCCGGCTGTTCACCTCCTAACCGAGTGAGTCACCTCGGAGCGAAGCGGAAAGCCCCGAATTCGGGGCAAGCTCTACGATAGGCTGCCCGCGCAGGTCCGATCGTCGTCGATCGCCGATCAATCCTTGCTTGCGCAAACGGGACGCGGAAGAGCGGCTTCTTTTTCTCTTTTTCTCTTTTTCCTTCGATGGTGAGCCGATAGTGGTGCGCCCGGCGATAGTGATGGTCAGATAGCGGCGAGCGCGATATATGATGGGCATCGTTGCTAACCCGCGATCATTCGGTTTCCTTCGACCGGCTTTGCCTAATCCGAGATGTCGCGTGTCTGATCCATCGGATCGATCTTGGTGTCCGCGACGTGGATCGTGTGTCGTGAGCTGCGAAAACTCTCCGGATCCGATCGCGACGAATCCGCAGATCCCTGATCCCGATTCGACGATAGCGCAGTAGCGTCCGAGGAAAATGGAGGACACGGGGATGATCAACGGCACGCCCGTGCGACAGGAGAGCAGGAAGCTGTGGCAGTACCTCGCCTCGATCTCCGGTATTTAAGCGCCATCGAATATCCTTTCAGTTTCGCCGTTTCCTTCTGGCTGGTTTCTCGGGATTTTCATCGCGATCGCGTCTTTTCCGCGGATGATTTTTGATTTTCCATTGGTTAGACGATTCGTTGGATGGTGCTTAGAATGTTAGCATTTAATTGTTTAGCAGAGGATTTTCTTGCATTTGTTTTAGTATATAGTGTTCTCTTGTTTTAGCGAAACGTTTGGTTTCCCTATTAGGCTAGCGATTACTTTTTATATGTATCTCATTCTTGACAAAGATCTTCTTAAGGCTCCTCAAAGACGATTAACTGGAATCTTTAAAATTTTAATGAGCGATAAGCTTGAGAGAAAGAATTCACGGACACCGAAAAAAGGACAAGTCCGAAGTTCGATTAACCGCTCCCGAGACAATCGAATCACTGTCCCGCTCTCGAAATTGATAAAACGGCACAGCGTCGTCTGTAATCGCAATCTGCGCTGAAAGAGAGGACATTTGCGTGAATGCGACGATTATCTGCTGTCGCTTTCGATTTGGACGCGGGCTTCCTGGCGGGACCCTTGTCCGTTATCGCGTTTCAAACGTGTGCACTGGAATGACGGTTAATTTATTAATTCACTTAGTGTGTAACAGATACGAGTAACTCTAGAGAGTAATGTTATCGCCAGATAATCGAGCAGTTACATAAGACAGAAGTACTTTCGGTTCCCGTGAATGTTAGTTCGTTGGATGAAATTATAACGAAAACGGAATTTCGTAATTATGAGACGGATATACGTTAATGTCTGATTTGACGTATAAAATCAACGATTTTTGCAAATGTAAATAACCGAGAAGGTTCTTGTAGGTTCAAATAAGTATTCGGCCAGTTTAGATGTTAATCATCGATGACTGGATATCGCTGGATGGTAAATGTTTAAAAATCTACAGGGGAGACCTTCGAATCGATGGAACGCCACCACCTGTGAAGCAATCACTATCTCGACGCGTTGACCATTTTTCACCGGCTTTAGTCAAACAAATCTTTCTTTTCCTAACACTGTATCAGAGATATTCAAGGCGATAATAGACGCCACAGCACTCGACGGATTTTTACTAAGAAAACAGATACAGTATCTCGGTTTCTATAAATCATACGAGTCCAGTAAATTATTAGCTGGAAAAAAGTCAACCGGTGAACATTGAAATTTAATCTAGATTATAAAATTCCCGATTTGTTGATAGAGGAACTGATAAATCAAAGTTGTTAAGCTTCAACGATACGACTTAAAGACATCAATATATAACGATTTTCGATTTGAACTGAGCTTCGCTATTAAGACTTAAAAAGAAAATTATTCAGATACCAAATAAAACAGAAAGTAAAGTAAATGAAACAAAACTGCATGTCTGATCTAAAATTGAACACCAAATGAATATTTTGCAACATTTCCTGAGGATTTCTTTCGTTTCAGCATGTATGCTAGTGGTCGGAATCGGTACAGCATTAGCATGGACTTCGCCGGTGCTTCCACAGCTCTATTTGAAGGATTCGTTCATGGTGCTGTCGCGAGAAGAAGGATCTTGGGTCGGTTCTCTGCTGCCGTTGGGCGCCATTGTTGGCGCCTTACCGGCCGGCGCGATGGCGGACAAGCTGGGCCGGAAAAAGTCGCTTCTCCTGCTGGCGGTGCCGTTCCTGATCTCCTGGACGATGATTCTGCTCGCCAGAATAGTCTGCCTGTTGTACGACGGAAGATTTATCGTCGGAATCGCCGTTGGAGCTGGCTGCGTTCTTGTGCCGACCTATGTCTCCGAAATATCCGAAGTCTCCACTAGAGGAACTCTCGGCGCCATGTTTCAGCTATTCCTCACCGTTGGGATATTTCTTGCTTTCGTTCTAGGAAGCGCTCTCTGCTACACATTGTTCGCTGGCTTCTGCGCGTTGGTCATCATCACTTTCCTTGCCACTTTCTATTGGATGCCTGAATCTCCCGTGTGGCTCGTGGTGAGTTGGAAAACTGAATTTTGAAATCTCTTGGTATTCTATATTGGAAATTATCGAATAGTCCTTTGGAAATGAGCTAACTAAATCAACCGTGGCAATTCAAACGAGAAGGAATCGCCTAAACATTACAGAATAGTTATTTCTATGTTCGCAATGACAAACATCAAGAACAAAGTTTCGCTCTTGGACGAAACTATGCCAAGCTGCACAACGCTTAGCCATTCTTCGATGCGACACAGCAGCGACCTAAAGTCCACTATTCACAATCCTGCAGGGATGACCTCCGATCGCGACTCATCCCATCCACAGCACAACATCCAATCCAATTACTCGCTATCAACCGTTTCCTGGACAATACCTGCGCGGGCCCTGGCGTCGCGTCAACGCAATTCAACGAATTGCAGCAGTCATCTAACAAAGATCCGATTGCACGTTAGCGAACAGATCGATCGAGTCCTTCGTCCCCTGGCTGCGTTCATTCCGCTCGTCTCCGCCATCGGACAGCTCGAAATTAATTGCTGGAAATTAATTCTGGCCGGGCAAGAGGGATCTGAGCCGGTTTGATTAATGTTTCCAGGGCAAGGGGAGGAAACGGGAGGCCAAGGAAGCGCTGTCCAAGCTCAGGGGCGATGCTTACGATCCCACTCAGGAGCTGAACGAAATGCAAACGGAGGCAGACGAAAGCGCCGGCAGGAAAGCGAGTTTGCGCGACATGCTGAAATCTCCGGTTCACAGGAAGGCTATGCTAGCTTCCTTCGCCATGATGGTTTTCCAGCAAGCGTCCGGCATAAACGCGGTGATCTTCTTCACCGTGGAGATCTTCCAGGCGGCTGGCAGCTCGATGAAGCCGGAACTCTCGTCCATTCTTGTCGCGTTTGTACAGGTTTGTTGTTGTTTCTCCAATTCTTTTAATCTTAATTAACTGTTTAAAGATACCGTCTGTGCAAAGCATATAGTTACCGACTTTGATACTTCCACTATCTTTACTCTTCTTACTAATTATTATCTTTCTGGTAGGCTTTAAGATTAAAGATGTCGAGTATCGAACGGCTTGACAGATTCTTAAAACATTAATTAACAATTGTACCGACGACAGAAGAATCTCGAAGCTTTATGGTTGTATCGTCGCACTGTTCGATGCTGAACGCAGAAGGTGCAAATATAATTAATTCCGGCTCCAGCGACATCATTTTACGATAATTAATGGAAGCTTGAATAAAACAGTACGCGAGCCACCAAGAGTGCGCTGAACAAAAGCTTCTGTTAAACTTTCCAAACTCGATGAAAAATTAATTGAGATGCGGAAAGTGTAGCGAGTGTATTAAGAAAGTTCGAGAAACCGATCTCACTTATCATTCTTGTAGCTTTTATTGATTACCCGTTTGTTTCCATTGCTCGCGTAATCTTTGAAAACATTCAGGAACTAAAATTGCAGTCTCCGTTAAAGAAGATAATTATTTTACAAGGGAAACTGCCGTTTTCTGCGAATGACAGTAAAAAAAGAATAGAGCCGGAATTAAATTCCACTTTAATTTCCAGTGGAACGGTTGTTTTTCGCGCAACGTTCCGCCAAGGAAAATAGACGTTCGTGTCGCTAAAAAGACAATGTCTTATCAACTTACGGACACGAAAATATTTATGTGCCCGCTCGTCGAGCAATTCCGCCGCGGAACGCGATTGTTCCGCGTGTTAATCGCGTCGTTAGTCGGGGCAAATTAACAGGGCGGCTCTGCGAGCTACAAACGATGTTTACGCTGTACGTTGCTCGTGTTCGCAGTTGGTAATGTCAGGTGTCGCGGCGTTGATTGTGGATCGAGCCGGAAGGAAGCCGCTGCTCATGATTTCCACCGGTGTTATGTCAGTCAGCCTGATCCTTCTGGGATACTACTTCAAGGTGAGGCACTATGGAGGTGACACCGGTTCGATCGGATGGCTGCCGTTGGTTTCCTTGGTCGTTTTCATGGTCTTCTTCTCCATAGGGTGAGTACTGGCTAATCGAATGATTTTTCACTGGCTTTTCCAATCATTTGAAATCATATTATTTTCTGTAAGAACATGGTTTGTACAGAATGGGACGCAATTTCGAAGGTTGCGACATTTTGAAACACCTTCTTCGTGTATCTACAGACAGCAAAGACACTCGGGTGTACTCCTTCATTCAAATTTTATTTACAATCTCGTTGGAGCTCTTCGCAGAAGTTAAATTGGAATATTTAACGCGAGGATCAGTAAAACTCTGAAACTTCGAAACGCGATTAACGAGTCTCGCAGTCTCGAGGAATAACTCTTTATATTTTGCCGCGTCAATATTGATTTAAGGATCCTCGTTAGAATTTCTCCTGAATTTGCCATTTATCATTACAGCCTTGGTCCGATACCATGGATGTTGATGGGCGAGCTGTTCTCAGCCGAGACGAAAGCAGTCGCTTCCAGTTTGGCAGTCACACTGAATTGGTTCATGGTGTTCGTGGTGACCAAACTGTTCCAGCCGTTGTCCGACATGTTGGGCAGCCACGTGACGTTCTGGATCTTCGCCGCCATCATGGCGGGCGCCACTGCGTTCACGTATTTCCTGGTCCCGGAGACCAAGGGCAAAACCTACCCAGAAATCCAGGCTATGTTGCTGGGCAATGGTCGAAAAACGAAAACCCTCGCTTGATCGTAATCGAAGCGTCATCGACAATTTTTTCATCCATTATCGTACGATTTTTCATTAGACTGCAGGTTTCCGTGCAAGCATTTTTGAGAACTGATTCAGAGGAACTTATGTTTCAAAGTCTCTTTCTTTCATAATTAGTTACATTAGGAAGATAGGGATACATTGAGTCGCTCAACAATTTTTTATACTTTTCCTTGTATTACGATTCAGACGTTTGCTCAGGAAAATAGGCAATATCTAGATTTAATAGATTTTAAGTCACAAAGTATCTGTATTGAACTTTTCACGGAGAATGCGAAGCACCCATGGTGGCCAATTCAATGCCGTTTCAAAGTTTACCAAAATCGTTTATCGTAATGTGCCGCGTACTCAGAAAATGCTTAAGATCGGCAGTCGAATTTTTCAGGCAAAAATCGAGAGGACCGTCGACCTACATTTCATTGACGCACAACGAAAAGCGTCGTCGCGACACTCTTGTTCACTCGATGTACCCAATTAATTTAATTAACGTAGCTATCGATCCGCCGCGCGGTTCTACTTAGGTGCACGCTCGAGGATCCACGGAGGAGTTATCGTCGATCTTCCGTCACGTGTCCATCGATCCGTTGCTTCTCGGTAGGTCCGGATTACCGTCTTCGGTGGCGAGATAGCGAACGGCACGCGATTCAACGTTTACATCGCAGAAACAAGAGCATTCGGTCGAACACCGCGTGCCTGATTAGCGGACATCACGTCGGATCGCAGCTCCCAGCGACACTGACAAATACGTCTGTTGCTTTCGAAACAAATGAAATGCATTTCTATGGAATTACCCCCGTCCCTGTTGCGCTTTTCAAGTTTTTATTACGTTGACCCATCGTTATCAACGCGTCGCGTACACAACCCACCGAATTGAGTCGTAAATAACTTCCAACCTTCGTTGCATAATAATTGAACGAATTAACCGGACGACATTAACGTGTCGCTTTTACGCGTTCCAGTGTTACGGGTCGATGTAAATTCAAATGGAAGCGACGCGTGATTTATCGTTCTTCCAGTTGTAGATGTAATTTACGGTAAAAGTGTTTTCAGAATGAACCAGTGAATATATTTACCGGGACTATTTATTAAATTTCTTACTTTTCTAGGTTCGAACAGCAAAGTTAGAATTGAAAGTTTCGCAAAGCTATTTGAGAATCGTGTGATCGATCGAAAAGAAGAAAATTCGTGGAACCCTATCTTGGCAATCTTGGTTGCCAGAGATTGTCAGCCGGCGGGAAATCAATGATGGCGTAGCATTGTCGTGAAAGCGTTTCGCTCCCCTTTAACTCCCCGAGAATTCTATTCTCCCGATATTCGGCTGTCGCAAGTGGAACAGTATCGCGACGCCTGGCGCCTTTCAATGGAAAGATTTACGATGCATACCGAATAATCGACGTATCAACGTGTTATGGCCGCGCTATCGAACGCAGCGCGCACAGTTTTCCTTTTTCCCTTGCGCTTGCTCCGAGAACAGCGCCCTGGGACGATAACAAAGATAGCGATTGAGGTTATCGAAGTGCTACCGACAGATTCGCCATGCGATTCCCTACCCTGTATTCTCTGAATTTTCGAAACCGTCAAACCAGCAGGCGTTCCAGATAACGTTTACATCTGGAGCGACGCTTGGCGCCATTTTGCTGCTCGCGCGCTTCCCCAGTCTCCTCGTTACCGACGAAAAATTAAAAGAAATAAATAAAATTGTAAAACGAATGAAAGCGATGTAAATAAATTTAGAGATAACAGTAAAAGAAACGAATAAAATTATTCTTTCATACGAGCGAGCGTTGAGGTTGTGCTTAAGAAAAATGAGCTGATACGAGTGGACGCCATTTTGTCGCTACCGATTCGCGACGCGCCAGGATAGTTTCCTCATTCCTTTGCCAAATAAAGAAGCTATCGGGAAATTTGACTGAAGAATTATGAATATAATTCTTGAATACTATGCGTAAATAAATATGAAACAAACTTAACTTTACGTCGACTTTTGTTCCCAGTTGCTTCCGTTTGCGGGTGAACTCGATATCGTTTCTTCACCCGCGACAGAAAAATTACGAATTACGATTAAGTACCTAATCGTCGATGACGCTATTGTCAGTTGTTGCGACGGTAAACAAACAAGTGCCTAACGCGGAGAGCGCTGGCAATCGAGTCGCAATTTCCTTGAGAAATTGTACCACGTGCACCTATCGGTGATGCAACCGATTCGAGAGAATCGTTCGCTTTTTTCCCCTTCGATCAAGGTCGCGGCTACTCGAGAAAGCTGGAACTTCGCGTTACCGTCGGAGTAATCGTTGTTAATCTCTGCTGACGTTTTCCGATAAGGGATAGATTTCGACGATCCCAATCTCCTGGCTTCTTTCGCGACCGATCGGAGTTCTCTGGGAAAACTGCGAAAAGGCAAACCTTCGTCACTTGGGAAATTAACGTTCTCAAATCTCACTGCCAACTTCATTTCTTCCTTATACACAATTCTATCGAGCCTATTCTCTGTCTCACAGAGCTTTCACTGCACTATATTCTGAATTTACCATTATAATTGCCGAATTCAATTACTTTCATCGCTTTTAAGCTTTCGAATCTACCAACATCTTCATCTTTTCCACACTCAATCGTGTGTTGACGTGTTTTCTACGTGGTTACCAAAAAAAATGTTTTTCTTCGAAGCAAATAACATGCTTTCAAAGTGTTATAACGCGTATAAAGGGCACTGCTCTCTTCGGTTTTATTGAATTCTGGTTCAGCCATCGAACAGTTCAGAATTCTACTTTTCATTTTTTGTAAAAGAACGCCGAAACTTTTCCATGAATCCAATAAAAAAGAAGAGCACTTATCGAAACTATCGCTTGTTTCTCGGTATTGTGTTATTTGGAAGGCGATTGTCACCGTCCAGCGAGTTTCGCAAGAACAAAGCGGAAAGATTCGACGGGCATCGCCAACCGAAAGTCGTCGGTATCGTGAAACTTTCCGCTCCGTGGCTGCGGCGATGAGCTGAATTCCTCGGCTCTCTTAGATCCTTCAGCAGCGCGATAATTTTGCATCCGGTGATGTAAAAGTTACGACTCGTCGCGTTTCGTCGCGCGGAATTATGCAATATCTGGGGAAGATACGCTTCCTGGATTGTTCCTCGTTATATCTCTTTTGTCGAGCTGTTCCCGAGGTTTTTATTACGAGATATCACGGCGCCGAACGGGTTTATTATCGACCGAACGATGCCCATCATCGAACGTGCCATTAAAAGTCAGAGCTGCGACGAACTTTGCCCTCCTACGTAGTCTTATCTTGCCGAGAAATTGCTAAGATAAGGTCTCGGATTATTCAACCCCTTAGCTCGACGACCGCGCTATCGACGATTGCTCTATTAACTTCACGATAGAGGCGAGCAATTCCTCCAAAAAATAGAGGAGCGACGATAGGTTCTATTAATACTCCGCGGTGTAGATAATGCATATTTTGCGCGAAGATCGATGACAAATCGAGGATCATCGAGCGTCTTGGTGGCAAGTGGGTTTTTAAGTTAGGTAATCTCTGCCTCTGGCCAATGATTTATGACGCAACGATTAGGTGTTTCCGATGTCGAGGAAGACAGTAAGGAATGTGACATGGAACCAATGAGTCACTAGGAAAGGAGTGCGCTACACTTTCTCTAGGGGATTTACTTAGAGAAATGGAATAAACGCGTTTGGGAATCTGGGACAATGGTTCAGGTAACTGGAATTCTTCGAAGAACAGCGGAAACGTTGTTACCGGGTATTTTGTAAAAGTCGCGCCTTTCAAATCGCATTTATGTTAGTTTCTTTAACGAACTGTCGGAAATACTTTTACTTTTCGAATGATTTACATAGATATTCACCGTTCACGCTTCATTGTTACACTCGATTGCAGAGTATCATCGTTAACAAGCTATATTTAAACGTACCGTAAATTGAAAGTGAATCTTTTACGCGCGCAGAATATCAAAGCCGATGTTAACCTTTTAAAATTATTTTTCGTTGGTTCCTGACACATAAATCGGCCATTTTAATCTCTCGCTTTATGAATTTTATAACAACCTCGGTTGACGCTGTTGTTTTGCTGATAACACGCGTGCATCCTTTCTAGAAGCGAGGAAGAATTTCATATTTATTAAGCATAAAATTATCTCTAAATGAAAACCACCGGTGTGATTACACTTTAAATTATATGTATAAAAAAAAGCGTGCATCGCGTGCACCTTAAATTCTTCATCGTACGTCCGATTCGACATTAGAGATTCGTCAGAAGCCTGTGTTTATTACAAAAAATGCTTTAAAGAAATAAGTACTAAGATATTCCTGCAATGTTAGACGCTAATTAACCGCGTCAGTTTGCATTATTCACTACTAATGATCCATAGATCAAACACAGGCGAGGAAACGCCGTTGTTTTCTGTTCCGGATCGTTGATCACTGTTACGGGACCCGGCGAACCGAGATAAACAAGGCCGGTCAATTGAACGGCGATTTTCTCATTCAGTCAGCATCGAGAATCGCGTGACCCTGCCCGCTCGCGGCTACATGTGTAGAGTGCCAACAACCATAATGGTATAACTCGTGCCACAACTAGTCCTAGTAAAATCATTGAAAATTCGACGAATAATCCGATTCAATTATAAAATGCCGTCTTCCATGAAAAGTAAATAAAACAAGCAAACTCGTTGGTACACTAGAACCTCCGCGCGAATTCAAATGTTCGAGAACGCGGTTAGAAACCAGACAAGTTTCCAGATTTTTCCTACTAAACATTCTTGATAATTTACCGACTGCAATCCGATATTTTCAAATCTGCCTCGATCGCCTGTTTCGGAGAAGGATTTATCATTTACGTTGGGAATAGAACAAGGAACAGAAGAAAAAGAATAATTATTTACAGCGCAAGAAATCATCTTGCCTCTGACTATTTCCTAACAGTTTGCGTTTTTTTCTGTTTTCGATCGCCACGGTTCTCGGCACGCCATTATTCGAGGGCCGGCGCGCACGATCGAATCTCGCACGACCGCCACGGGCTACCTCGAAATTCCGTGAGGGGAATCCTAGACGACCGACAACCGTGACGCACGTCCATTCACGCGCGTGAAACCGGCAGACAAGATCCCGGGGGAATCACCGGCACTCCTACGTTTTTCGGTTCACTTACACGTGCCGCGGCTTTTCGAGGGTTCTCGGTAGCCGCGCTACATGCCCGCGCTCCGAACGCCCTTAAGCGTAATTTCGAAACGATCAGGTAACCACAGGGGAATCCCCGAACGTCCCAGCTCAGCGTTTGCTAAATAGAATCATTTTTTCTGAGCAATATCTCGAATGCCGTCGGTGGTTCTCCGGTAGCGCGTAGGAATCGCGATTAATGCTAATCGACGAGTGAAAAAGAATCAGACAATTTATCGCGGAATATTCATTCGAACGCGTTCGAACGTTTTCCTGCAATTTCTTGTTCTCCGTTGTTTATAGTTTAAGGAATACGATTTATATTAAATTCCTTCGCTACTGCTATCAGGCTAGTGTAAAAATATCTTGTATCTGTACATGTAAGAAATTTCCATACGAAAACAGCCACGAAACGCAACGAATAACATTGTCCCTCGATGTTTCCTTATTTATTTCATTACCGACTCTTAATCTAAGCTAAATGATGCGTCATGAAATTAGAAGCTTGCGTATAATCTTCGAAATTCGATGCGGTGGAAATAATTGAATTCGAACGATCCGTTTCCGAATAATCCGAGCGTTTCGCAGCGGAATCCCAGATGATCGAGTAGCATTGTTATCACACCGATTTCCCGTAACGCGAGCATACGAAGTTTCAAGGTCCCCGATCGGCGGCGAACGTGCGCGCAGCTCGGCTCAAAATATCCGGCATTAGAAAATCGAGATACCGAGGCACGAACGCGACACCTAATAAACGCCTGATCGATCGCTGCGCGACAAATTGTTGGAAGATCGACGGCTGGATCGATCCGTCTTCGGTATTCTCGATTTTTTCCGGCCGTTCTTGCGCTCGCGCCGCGGGGAACCGAGGAAACGAATAAATTTCAACGGTTGTCAGCGGAGCGGCCCGCGCCGCGAGGCTTAATGGAGTAATTGCTGCGCCGAAGGATAATGAATACGAATTATAAAAGCGCGCGCGCGTAATGCGGATCAATTGATCCTGGGTTATCGTTCGGTCGAATTGCTGATGCAACCTTCCTCCCATTTGTTCGCGCAAAGAAATATTCGCGATCGATCGAACTTTCCTAAATTTCGAGAGAAATCTTTCTAATTACGCCGTGCGCGATCAGCATCGGTTGCTCGGTATTGTTTACTCGTTTAAATCATCCGATACGTGTAGCATCATATATATATTATTAGAATCCACGGTCGCGAGGGAGGGTACGGTGAACATTTTTTCAGCCGGATCCGCGCGACTGATACGAACTTTCCTCGTTAAAAACTGACAGCGACGCGGACGCAATTTTCAGTCGATTTTCATTCTCGGAAAAGTAGGAACGGGAAGATAAGAAGGAAATTAAACGAAGAGACGTCCTCGAACCGAGAAGGATTTATTATAGAATCGGCGTCCGATGGAACCACTTTTTTTCCTATCGGAGGAAGAGGATAAAAATAATATTTTACGACTTCGATTAATTCGTCGTCGGTTTCAGCGCTCGCGTCCAAGAGTTTCTCTGGATATTTTCGAGAAGAAAGTAATTCGCGTTCGATTAGAACTGCATTTCATTCGGATCGTTGGGACGGGAAACTCGTTTCGAGCGTGACGTCGAACGCGAGAGCTTTCATTTGCGCTCTAACCTTTGTTCTAATATATTCATATGAAAATACGAGTTAATTGCGTTTAAGAAAACACTTGTCACGATAATGAAAGGATAGCCACAATGACTATAACAAAGATAAAGCAGAGACGTATTTGAATTACAAAATAGAATTCTGTTTGAAAATATTCGTTATCGCGAACTGTGTCTTCGAAGAACACGCGAAGAAAGCGTATTATATAATACTAATTTCATAAACATAATAATTAAGCAACCGAAGTAAACATTTGTTTTCTTACATATATTATATATTATAATTCGAAGTTTCCCGATGCCCCAGTACGTTTGACAAGCTGGCATTTGCAAACAGTACGAGTCCAGTTATGAAAAATCCTATCCGCCCGTTTTTCCGCGCATTCCTTAGATCTCGGACTTCCGCGTTTCCGAGGGAGAAGTGTCGTCAGAGAACCAGTTTTATTCCGATAGAATTGTTTATGCAAATCCCGCCGCGGCCCGCGCTGAAATCACTGAACCGGGCGTTTCTCTTGTTATCTCGGTAAACAGTTCCGCACAATTAACGTCGAAACGACGTTCGAACTAACAGAAGTATGAATTCAGTTTCCCAGAAAGTAACAATCAATGATAAGCGAACGAAAGAGGTGCGATTATAACGACCCGATAATTCCAATATAAAAACCTAACTATCAAACATAGTTCCTAATTATGAATATTAGATATTTCCTTTAGACAAGACAAGAACTTGAAAATTAACCAATAAAAACGAATCAAGTTAGACAGAAATTTCTTGTAAAATGTAAACAACATTCCATTCGAATAAATCGGTTTCATCAGAACCTATAATTAAATAACTTACACGAGATCAGTCGTGTAATTTCTCCTGTCTCGTTCTTAGGAAAAGGGAAAAAGTATAATCGACTCCGAATTGGATCGTGATCGAGGAATAACCGTTAACGTCTGACGTAACTTTCTCGTAGGCCAAGACACGCGACATCTTTCGTTTGCCCTAGTCGCACGCCTTCGCTTCTGTTTACGTCCAGACGCACGGATGGGAGGACATCAAACTCCGTCTGCCTAATTAATCCACTAATCGAACTACCGACTCGACGCCGGTAAAAACTTGTCCCCTGTCCTCCTGGCCATCGCGAGAACACCTTCTTTCTCGGTTGAAATAACTCGACTTGTCTTCACCTCTTTCCACCTGTCGACAGTTCTCGCGTGTTAGTCCGCTACCCGGCAACCACCTAGAAGAGTCACGCTCAATTTTTCTACCGTACGTGTCGCGCATAATCCGTAGACTGCGGATTTGCCGGCGTTTCCGAGGAATTTCGTAGCGTAACTTGCGCGTAATGCATATTGCATGAGAAAGCGGATCAATTATCTAAACTGTCGTGGTCTTTACGTTATTACTGATGTTTATATTTTTGTTTTCGTTAGTGTCTTTTTATATCGATAATGAAATGTACGCTGTTGCTTTCATTGGCGCCTTTTTGCATTCGCAATACCGTTTATATTAAGTATCGATTTTATCAGCGACTCTTCTATTAATAAAGCTTGTTAAGAGAAATCATTCCTTATCGTAATTCTACTCTTCTAATTATATTCTAATGCCGTTGATTTCCTTGAAATCTTCTCGGAAAGGTTGTTTAAATTTCGAAAAATGTTGATGGAAGTGCAAATTTGCATGGACGTCCGCAGTCTGATAATTATAATCGAAAGCTTCTACACGCAATCGGCACGGAAAGTAAGTTAACGGCACGCCTGGAATACTATCGAGTATTATCGTAGAAAATTCCGATGTTTCGTTTGTCGCCGCACGCGGCAATAATGCCTTTTCCGATTGCAACTCGGAACGACTTACTTTCTGTTCATACGTGGCAACTGCTAGTCGATTTTCGAGCGTTTACGACTTCGAAATCGGTTCGTTTGCGCCGGAAACTTATTTTCCGGGCAGATTGTGCGATGCTGTAACCTTATCAATATTTTTTGTTCAAGTCGCTTTTACGCCGAATGTCGAAACCGTTTGAATGCTGCGATTGAAAGGAATCGATTCTAGTCTGTAGAATCGTGCAAATTGTACGTTGGATTACCGGAAAACTTACTGTACGATGTAAACTTAATATTTTCAAAAATTGAATATTTTCGAATATTTTCGACCGATAAGAATCGCATTAAATTACAGATATCATTAACGAACTATTGCACGGTTACCGACGCGCGTATCGTCGATCAAACGAGTCGATATAAATAAATTTGCCCGCTCGTTGCGCGCCGAGCACGCTAATTCTGTTTAACGAAACAATGGTTTCGAACGAAGAGAATTTTGCAATGGTAACGAGATACGCGGCGCGAGTAAATTTCGACGATCCGTTGGGATAGAGGATATCGGAGGCTCCAGTTAATTGTCCGAGCGGGGAACGTTAAAATAATATTTACATCCGGGTCGTCGCAATTGAACGGTTTAATCGGCGACGGTGTTTAACGTGTCCACGCTCGGACAAAGAAGTAAACAGTACATTATCGCGTTCATTCAGACGAGATTCGACTAATTAAACCGTTCGGAGTTGTCGAGATTATCGGGCAGCCGTGATACACGGACTGTTAACGTAGATCAGTTAGGACAGGTCGACCGGTGTTCTCGATTCGGGTATCGTCGAGGCGGCGCACGCATTTTTATACGTTTTTCCTATTTCCCCTCGTTTCCGTAGCAAGGACACTCGAACACCTGAGTCCACATTTTCTAGATATCAAAGCTGCGAGTATAAATCACCGAAGCAAAGTCGAGAGCAACGAATTTCAACGAAATTTTTTAAATATTTTTTATTTGACTTTAGTCGGGAAAGTGTCAGATGTTAGAAATATAATTCGTTCCTCGCGCGTGTTGTCCGTCGAGCGTGTATCGCGCGAGACAGCGTAACGTGAAAATCATTTTCAAATTTCAGTAAACTGTTTATAATAGAGAATAATGAAACGAATGTTCACGCGTTCATAAATGCAGGGAATAAATGACTGAAATGATCTCGTTTGAACGGCCCACTCCGCATGCATTGTAATGGGCAGACCCGACCGCAAATACGATTTATCTGCGTGTAGACTTAGTTTATCGTTAACAAATGTCAAACGAGAGAGCGATCGAGCGAATGATAACTCGTTCAATGCGGTCTCCGTGATCTGACCTGTTTCCGTTTCCATTTTTTCTTCGTTGCGACGCGTCCAGATCAATTTTTCGTTTATTCGCGCAAACCGTGCATCGCTTTACCAACAATCGAAACGCCCGAATTTCGAAAACAACGCAAAAGTGGAGAGTTGGCCAACTGATTAAATAAGAATCAAGTCCCACGCTCGAAGACAAAGTTTGGATAAGACTTAGACCACCGAGATTGATGACTTTTTACTTTGGTTATTATCGATCTGTTGACGTAGCGATACCTCGGCGAGGGTAAACAGTTGTCTCGGATCGTATCTGTTCGATTTATTGTAAATCAATCATAATTTCAAACTTCAGGATTGCGACGTTATTTTCCTTGTTCCTATCAATCAATGGGCACCTATGCATCCATTTAATTGTTTCTTGTTTTTCCACGATTGTTGGGAACCGCGGTGATCAATCAACAATTAGCATCAATCAAAATACGTCTTTCGAGACATTTCGCTAATGTAAAAGCATCCGAAACTGATTGCGCGCAATCAATTTCATTGTAAATGTCAATCGGAGTAAACGATAAACCGTAAGAGCTCGTAACACTGGAGCAACCCTTCTCTCCAAAGCGACCTTCGAAGCTTGAAAAGTTACAGCGACACATTTCTGTTGCAAAGTAATGCGAGTAAACGGCGATACGCGTAAAATCGAGGCGTTCCGTAAAGCTAGCGCGAAGAGGTGGGACTTTGACGAAATCGCGATCGGCCGATCGATCGGTGGCCGTTATCGGGGACCGATCGCCGAGCCGACGAAGATATTCAACGGGCGATTATGCGAGAACGAAGAGGGGCGTCGCAGCCCGCGCGCACACCTCCGCATCCCTGCAATTCGTGTCCGTTGCGTAACGAATTATCGAGGGACACCTATAATACAGCTGTTTCCTTAGAGAAAAGACCATTTTGACGAAGTGAACGGTGCTCGACGGTAAGTGGATCGTTCAGTCTTCTTCTGTGTTTCCGTTCCGCCGCGCGAATTTCTTCCTCGCCGGAGAACCGGGGAGAACGCGACGCGCTTCCTTTTTCGATCCCCTTCTTCGGCGAATCGATTATCGGTGAGATCGCGGCGCTATTATCGGCAATTACTATCGTGACAATCAGCTCGCCCGTGGAATTTCTCCCGTGGAAATGTTCAGGGGTGACGGGTGGGGGAGAATGATAGACGAGGAACGATTTTATCGGCTCTTAGACAACCATTAGTCCCGAAACCCTTACAGCCGAAAAATTCATTTCCACGCGGGAAAATTGATCTGATTACCTATCGGCCGTGATAGTGATCCGTGCTATTCCTGCGGTTGCGTCCCTTCTTCTGCGATCTTCGGGCGAGATCGATGGGAAGGGATGCGATTGGGTTCCTTACGAGTTCTCCAGAATTCTTTTCACAATAGAGTGTGATCTATCGTACGGAATATTTAGTCTTATTATAGTTAATCGCACCAACTGGGTTACGAAGGCAATCAAAAATCGTTCGGTTGAGTCATCCGTCGCGCGGAAGCAATGTTTGCCGACAAATGGAACGTTCTTTCGGTAGTTTGAATTTCAAAGGACGCAGATGTGTCGGATAATGGAAATGTTTCACGGATAACGCAACGGAATGTCGGGAATGCGCCGACCATTGTCTATGATCGTCAATTGTTCCGCGATGGAGCAGGTGTTCTGAAATTAATTCAAGTTTGATATAAAGCTTTCAATTTAATCGACGTAAGTTCGATGCGCAGTTTCCGAGTTGCTTCGATAGAAAGCGGCGCGGGAATTTAACAGTTCAACCTTGGACGTTTGAAAACTGATTTAGATTACCAGATATTTCTGCATCCTTATCTATAAATACTCTTCTTCTCGTGTCTTTCATTTGACGCGAGGTATCGCGAGAGCCACAAGTATTTAAAGATTACGTTTTCATCGAGGATAAATGCCTAATTAGCACAAGTTTTCCGGCAGAATCGATTTCGAGTTAACCGTTAATTACACAAGAATTTTCCTTCTCGCCGCGATTTAATTGTCGCCCGTCCACGGAGTTCCCGATAACGTAACGATCTCCAAAGGAATAGGATCCAGGATCAACGTGCCTGACCCGTCGCGTCACGATCGCTCCCATTCCCTCCGTCGTCTCTAATCGTTCGCTTTCGCAGCATCTTACTTCAATGAAATTCTCGTTGAAGTTTACTCCGAACAATTCAACAGCTTGTATTACTTCCAGCAAAAATATTCGAATCTCTTAATTAACGTGTACCGTGAAGCTTCAAAGTCTTGAAAGTTCTCAGGCTGAAACGATCATTTAACTCAACGAACCATTATTAATTACTCGATTTCATGCTTGCAATATTAACGACGCAGAGTTTCCTTAGACAATAAATATTTCGTTATCCCCGGGACTGGCGTGAATATTTCCACGAGCAACGGCACCGTCGCCGACTTCTCGCGCATCAGTCGAGTGGAATTTTTTCATACGAGTCACGGTAGTATCTCCAAAAAAGAACAAAGAGCTCGTTTTGTTTTGCGAGGCCACGCCTCGAACGTTTCATTTCGCGATAAGACGTCTTTATTTTTGTTATTCGCGCTGTTGCTGTCGGCAGGGGGTTATTCGAGTCGGCGGTCCGTTCAACGACCCCAATTGTGTCCGAAAAATAGTATTATACACGCAAGTGCTCTATCGACATCGGCACAGATGAATCGGTTGTTCGAGCGAGCCAGGTTCACGGCGTTCTAACTCGCTTGGGCCGACTCGCTCGATTTTCTCATCGTTCACCGAATATTCCACCCACGAGTCCTCTTTCTAAGCGTCTTTTCAAGCGGTTACTGTTTCCACCTTATCTGCCGATAAAATTCTTTCGGCGCTCGATAGCGGCCGCGACAACTGGACCTCGAACGACGTACAATCGATCGAGAAACTCACGCAAACGTTTCTTCGGTATTTCATTAATACCGTTCCATTATCTACTTTTCAATTGACTGTTTCGATCTGTCGGATGAATCGGTGGGAGCACTTTGGGATAGGCCAAACGGAAAGATCGACTCGATCGCCCGATTCGCGTGGAGGTTTCGTTGGTAAAATTCCTATACTTGTTGCTTCGACGACTAGATAATCTACCGAGTTAATCATCTCGCGAATGCTCGGTTGTTGCTTGCTCGATTTATGTTTTCGCGTTGTTTACGTTGCAGTGGCACGGCAATATAGGAGAGCGGTGCGTTAAAATCATAGAAAATATTGTTGAATCTTTGCAAATCATTATCTTCGGAATCTTTGTCTGACGTAAACCGGTTCCACGAAAACTAAGATGAAGATTTTTGAACATGGTACTACGTCAGGAACATTTTCCGGTGTACGGGATGACGTTAATCACAACCGATGACGTAACACCTTCACCGGTTAACGGATTCTCCCAGGTTGGCTGTAATTAATACATCGTTACGTTAATAGCCGACTGAATAACAGCCGAAGAATTTTCGGACAGTCGATCTTCGATTGTCCGAATACGTTCGAGGAAATGTAATTACACACAATCGCCATGACTCGATCCCGTGAACAATAACGACATGACTGCAGCGATATTTATTTACAGATAAACGGATACCGCGCGTGCACTCGAATGTAAAATTCTATACCGGAGTGCCTTATGCAATATCTCGACGAGGAGTCGCACACTACTATCCTACATTTCTTATCGATATCTTTCGCTTTTGTTCTTCTTCCCTTTAACTCGGTTCGATCGTTATCTCACAAGTGCTACCGCAATGAAATTGACACGAATACAAGTACGTACGTGCTACCTCTCGAAGGTTTTAAAATTCCACCGAGAAACATACACCTTGTCCTCTTCGAACAAGCAGCAATTGTTGGTACAATGTGCACCAGCGAATGCACTAGATCATCGAGTACAATGGTAAATTGTGTTAATCTCGGCTCAGGGACACGTAACGTGTTACAATTTCGAAGCATTGTAGTTGATAAATACCATTTCGAGTACGATTGTTTCTGCAGAGTATCATAATCGCAAATTATTACAGTTACAAATGATTGTAATTGCAAGAGCTGTGTATCCACGACTGCGTAACAAATCTGACGCGCATTTCAATCGTGTTTACCTGCAAAACATTCCACGGGTTGCCCATCGACTAGACTCAACGGCAAAAACTGCTTAGAATGATTCACCTGTCCCTTTGCGCGTCACGTAGATTCCGAACCACTTTCGGAAATCGAAAGGAGGTTGAGAGAGGATTTCGTCTGTGATCGGCCGCTGTAGGTTTCCGTCCGCCATTAGAACGCACTGCCTGCTCCTGTAAGCATGCGTTTAAGTAGTTGCGGGATCTCCCGAAGCGTTCGACACGCGCCACCTGTTTTCTCTTGAGAAATTCTCCAACTTTGATATTCCGACTCTCACGACTTCGCGAGTACTCGTCACCTTCGTATGTGCATCTTCAACGAGCCGAGCCTCGGTAATCCCCGGATTCCAGAAGTCGATTAGCTCGCCGACAATTAGCTCCTTCCGTTTCGATCGCGTGGATCTGGATTGCCGATTCGATCTTCCGCAATATACCGCTTCTGTTCTCTTCCTACAAGAATTTCAAATATGTATATATGATTATGTATTGCATAATAATTAATAAAATATCGTGGAAAGGAATTCTATCAAGTGAATTTCAATCGAAAGGATAAAGAAACCAGAAGGATTCACCAGAATTTCAGCTCGAATCCAACTATAAAAATTGCTACTTAAATTTCAATTGAAAATCGATCGCAAAATGAAATTTAAAATTTAAAATTTAAATTTTTCTTTCGTACTGCTATCGATTTTTAACCGTCTGCTTCTCGTACCCGTTTTTAGTCTCGTAGTTAATATTCGAATCAACGTCGTGTATTCATAATCGGGGAGCATTCATTCTTTTCTTTGAAACGCAAGGGTCGAGGGAAGGGGTTAGGTCAGGGTTCGCTGTAACAGAGAGAGAATCTCTTGTGTATTGATTTTCCTCTGGCACACAGGGGTGAAAAGAACGGAGTAATGGCCCGACAGCCTGTTTCGATATATATTTCAAATAGTATAGAAAAAATAAATTTTTGGGATTTCCGAAATGAAAGGGTCATGTGACTGTACGGTAGTTGGCGAAGAGAGCAATGCAGTTTCGCCGAAGAATAAAAGGCTCGACTGCACGAGAAAAAAATATGTAACGCTAGATATAGATATGATAGCGACAGAAAAGAAAGTAGATTACACGTGTCGGAAATACCCAGTGTAAGTATATACACGTCTTTGCTGGACTCTGTAGGATTCCAGAAATTTAAGAAAATGGAAAACTACATTGTTCAACAACATTATAAAACCAGCTGTTAACAAATGGATTCGATTGAATATTTGATATTTCACTTGTAAATTTCTGCAACTGATCAAATCGATATTTCAATCTGCACAGCAAACCACTTAGCGAGAGAAATATAATGCAATTAATTTCCCATCAATTTTCAATTGAAAAAAATATGAACAGATTTATCTTAGCGATACGATTAATAATCTTTGAAGAATAATGCCCAACAATAATGTTTGATCAATAAACAGATTGATTCAGATTCAGAATTCAGTGGAATGCTTTCATCTCCGCTTGTTCGAGCAACGAACGTTTCCATTAATTAAGTGCCATTTGAAAATTGTCTTTTTGTTCGCTGTTATCGGGACAGCAAGATAAAAACCGATGTAGGCATCTTCTATATCTATATTCCATTACTCGACGAGCGGCGTTCGTACTTAAAATTTATCATTGGAGATCGCGAGATATATTGGCCTCTCGAACCTATCAAGGTCGCAATTAACGGCACCTTTCACGAGGAAAATCACGGCGACGACGCCGAAGAAAGGGAAGAACACGGCACAGCTCGGGGAAAGCTTCGAAGTTCCCTTAAAAATAGAATATTCTTCAAAGAGAAATAAATCAGCCCAGCGCTCGGCTGCAAAATGCTAACTTTCGTCCGCCTCTCTTGACTTAATCTCTCGATACCTCCTTGATTTGTCTCAAAGTAAATTCAATATGGCGAGTCCTTGCTCCTCGGCTTGTCTTCTTTCATTCGAAATACTTCTTTGAATCCGCGTTTCCACAATTCACCGGGAAACTGCGCAACGCAGCGCCTTTCGTCAAAGCAGGAATCTTCTAATGGATGCAACAAGAAATTTCAATGGAATTTCAATTTAATTCAATTTGGATTTCCATTGACGATTTAAAAGAGATCGGAGGTGAATAGAATTCCCGTTGATGCTTCCAACGGATGAGAAATAAAACGAGCTGTATTCGAATTCATTCGAATGTCCACGATTTTCTCGATTATTTCGTCTGCCTCGTCCGATTATTGGTCTCGCTTGAAAACGATCGATCGGTTACTCGATTTAGCGTCGTCGTTGCGAGGGTTTCAGTCGAGGAATTTGAAGTTTGATTGTGGAATATTGTGGTCGAAAGTACCGGAAGTTCATCGGGACGTCGCTTATTGCCGGTTGAAATTTTCAGCGACGAGCGCAGTCGATTTTTCCACTTGGGAACGCTGCGACGAGAACGAGAGATCGCGTTGGAAATTAATTCGATACGTATCGGTTTTGCGTTCTTGTAAATGAATTCGCGCGGAATGGCTGTGCCATCAGAGTTTCATCTTCCGATGGGCTGGAACTTTGAGAATGACACTCCAGAGGAAACTTCTATTCCATTCGAAAACAGAGGATTTTCTCTGTTGAAGATTGGACATTTGTTCCTGCGATCGTTCATTCTTTACTGAAGTTGTTCTTCTGCAAAAGAAAGTAACGGTTAACCCCTCACGAAGACTATAAATTCGATGAATTTATCTACGTCCAAATTTATCTTTAACACTTACCATTTGTTCGCCGATCGGTATTTAACGCTTCGAATAACCGAGAATGAACAACAATACCATTTAAATAAGAATAAATAGCCACATTATAGAATTAGAAGCTTCTTTCCACGAATGTATCGGTAGAATTTGATTTCTTCGACAAAAGGTCATTACGAAGCTTCGCCGGGGGTCGCAGAGAAAATCGCGAGGCAATAGGTTAAATCGATCGGAAAGAGAATCGAGAATTTCACGCGATTCGAGTGAAATCGAATCGAAAATGGGAATAACGATAGAACAGCTACGACAATTAGAGTCCGCGGAATGCAGAACGTCTAACTAGACCATTGCAGATTACTCGGCCTTGACCTTTAGACCGTAAGGCAGCCCTAAACTTCCGCGCCTTCGTTCGATCGCGAGTGTCGCGATCGCGAGCGCCGTTGATGTGCTCGAAAGGAAGGCTCGACGATAGTGTTCGCCATTGTTGCCGTGGCTAATTCCTTTCTTTTTCACGGGTATCGGGTGTCTAGCAAAAAGACGAGCGAAACCGTGATACGGATAACGAGAGAGAGAGAGAGAGAGAGAGAGAGCGTACCAGAGATAATGTTCCGAGCGAATTTCTGCGAGCACTGTTTGCTTAGCGGCCTGCCGGTGCATTACGATAGATCACGGACTCGTTACGTTCTCCTAGATCAAAGAAAGAAATGTCACGTTGAAATATGGGAGATTATTCGTCATGAAACGCGAAAGAGCATTTCGAGCGTTGCTGTGTATTTATTGCAAACGCAAATTGCGCTGATCAGCATAATTTATTTAGGGATATTTTCACGTATCTCCGCGTTTCCCTTTTTTTTCATTCGTGACCGATGTTAATTGGGAAAATTCGTAAATATAGGAATGCCGAACACGGTAAACAATACGAATTTCATTAGAGTTCCGTGCATCAATCCAACCACATTTAACGCAATAATATTCCGAATATTCCACAAGCTTGCCCGACGGTCTCATTTTACTTTAAAAACAGTCCCCCGGCACTCTCCGAAATAATATTACTCGCGAAGTACGAAATTATTTCGATCGGTACTACGTTTACCCAACGAAGCTTTACAACTTTTAGGCTGCCGTTATACTTTGCGCAGCTTCGAGATAACGATGATTCGTCTCCTCTGGGCTCCGCCGTAGCTACTCTACGCACCCTTAACCGCCAACGAGTCAAAATTACCCATTCCGAATTCCTTCTTCCACAATTACCCAAAAGACACGAAAGTTCCTTTGAAGACAGCGAACATTCTTCTCGAATCTTCAACGAGATTCCGATCGAGTTACAATCTTTAGTAGAAATTAGTGGATTTTTCGAGACTCGAAGGAACCCTTACAATCGTATCAACGGAAACACGCAAGCTTGTTTTACGTCCCACAGAAGGATGTTGATGACTCGAAACGCGTTCACCTGTTCAGTTCCAGCGTGAAAAAGAGTTTCACCCCCTGGAGTCGATCGGCGATCGAATTGACCTTGACACCGGGGATTGCTTGCAGGGTCTAGGCCAGTGGCGTACGGTCGTTGGATTTCGCTGGAAACGAGGCTGTTGCGAGTCGAGATCGCCGTGAATCGTGGCACGCGGGCCGAGCCGGCGAGGAGGAAGGGAGAGAGAGAGGTCGCGCGTTTATCGAGCGAAGAACAGAGAAAGAGAGGGAGAAATGGCCCCCACCCACGGCGACGAGGAAATAGAGGGGCGCTATAAAGAGCGTAAAGCGTATAAAGAGCGCTCGTATGCCTACAGCCCTGTACCAGCGAGTGGCGGCTCTACGGCAGTGCACGATTCAACTACCCTTGGCAAGCGATTCGGCGAGAACGGTGCCGGGCAAACACGTCTACTCGGTTCGAACGGTGTCCACGTCGAGTGTCCAGTGAACAAAATGACGGAGAAGGGTTCGACTAAGTTGCAGTACATCGCTGCTGGAGCGGGTAAGTCGCCAACCCTCTTTCTCTCGCCTCGGAGCTGTCAGCCCCGCGACCCTCGGTTTCCGCCGGCCACCGCGGACCCTTCGTCGGCACTGTGCATCGGACTGCGATGGCGCGAATTATCACGGATCAAACGGTTCATCTCGCGGGAAATTCACTTTACTCGAACGAGGGAATTCGAAGTATCGCGCGGATGCAACGGTCTTCGCCTTTTTTGTGCCCAGTAAAAAGAAGAGTTCTCGAGCGGCCAGCTACCTTTGTTCCCTGGCTAAACCAAAACTAAGTAAAAACGGAGACAGAAGTGTCCTTTATACGCGCTCCGATGCTTTGAAAACAGATGTTGTTTCTTTCGAAGGAGACGATACTTTCCGTCAACCGCGTACGAAACGTCGAAATTTTTCCATAGGACCGATAGAAGCGGAAGCAAGGGGGAAAGTAGCGGTTTAGTAGGTTCCAGAGTAATTAGGGAGCCGAGTTTGTACACTTTGGTTTCTATTGTATTTCGGGCGAGAGTTCGGGAAGCATTTGTTTTTCGACAGGTTTGATAACGGGGATGTGGGTCAATAGGTGACGATTGCGGGAATCAACGTGAACTTTAAAGAGATAGCTTCGGTCGCGCAGGAACTTTCGATGGACTTTCATTGTCTTCGTCTCGTTTTCGTTGTCTCGTCGTAAATTTTCGAATTTGCTGAATATTTCGATTCTGCTTTTATCGCCGCATCGTTTATAAATGATAGTTTGTTCATCTATTTTGAAATAAAGCAAATAAAGCTTAATGCGCCACATAGGAAGAGTTGCAAGGGTTTAATAAACAGAAATCGATTCTTTTGTTTGCCGAGCTTTCCACTGGAATATTTCGGTGGTCGGGATTCGTCGAATTACTCTCGCGGAAGTAGTAATTACTCTCACGAGGCTGAAAGAACAACGACGCTCCTAGAATGCGATGCAATTAAATGCAATTAAAGAATAATAGTGTGGAATTTTTTGATTGATACGAGGGCCGATAATCGCTATATCTTTCGCGTGTATCTCTGGAAGGTGCGTTCGACGATCGAACAAGTGTTAACTTTGAACAGGTGTTTACTTCAGCGATACACTTTCTACGTTAACATTTTCAACATTTAAACGACTCTTTTCCAAAAACGCCGTATTTATATTAAAGACAAGGCTAATATCAAATTATTGAAAGAAATACTGACAGTTTCTGACTTTGCAATTAAAATTGACATTCGAAGTTTCTAATTATAGACGGTAGCGCGTTCGAAGGGTCCTTAACTTACTTTCGAAGTGTATTTGTGACTCAATTTGTCACTACTTCCGTTATGTGCATTAAGCTTAGTTGGATGGCGATTTAAAACGAAGTGTCGCACTGATAAGAACTGATACGGCCTCTCTGCGCAACTGCGATTTACAACAAAACAATGTTCGTGCTTAGAAATATGTTAGTGCGATTCAACGAAACAATATTTCTTAAACGTCTTTCATCGACAAATCAATTCCCTATCGAACATCTACCTCCATCGTATTCGAATATCAATGATACAAATGAAAATCGTTCAGAAACGTCAAAATAATGAAATTTTCATTGGTCTTCATTCATGAAAATACATTCAATTTTCGAAGGCAAATACTCGTAGAAGAGAAATTTTCGGAAAGTAAACTCTCTATCGGAAAAGTTGTATGGAAATGACTTTTCGATTGTTTAAATGGCAGCGGTCCCTCGCAGAACGATAGCTTTACTTCATTACCCTAATTTCATGATTTACAGCGGCTATATTTGAACACGGTACACAGAGCGTTCTTTTCAAAGGAATTATCGTAATTTGCGCAAGTATTATAATGAAACACGAGCGTTTTTTTAGTGATTCCGATAAAACGGTAGCTGTCGTTATCTACGGTTCCTTAATCGAAGCCATAATTCAATTGTCCTGCCGCGTCACGTGTCGACCGTTACACGTGACTAAAAAAAAGTCGAAGGAAGAGATACAACATCGGGCGGAAATACTACGAACTATAATAATTATTGGAATCTGCGTAATTAGCGTAATTCGCGTGGATCTTAGCTAGCGGCGCAGATGTTCCGAGCGCGGTCAAATTCTTCGCGGGATCGTTGACGGTTTTTTCGAGGGAATTTTTCCTAACGAGCGAATATTTCTCGTCGGTCCCGTGTACGACACTCGAAGGATTGTTTAAAAAACAATGAAAATATCGAGTTTTGGGAAGTGCGCAAAAAGTCAACAAACTCGCGAACGGATAAACAAAAATCGGCCCTGTTGCTGTTTGTCGTCGGCGGGCAAACAACATGGCGCATCGAGCTGCGGCGTTTGTTTTACGTTGCGCCGGTTCTAAAACGGTTTTGGCTCGAACATCGGAAGCTCCTGTGACAGTTAAAAGTAGTACGGTCTTTTTCTTTCGCTGCTGTATCGACGGAACGTGGGATTTTTATACGAAACTTTTATGTGACGTTCGTCATAGATTGGATACTATTTATTAATCCTTTGCAGTCGAATGTCGTTGTAATGGCAAATGAAGAATTTAATTATTCGACTCGCGCGAGATTGAGATGTGGCCTTTTTCCTTTAGCAGAAACGTTAGAAGTTTCAGACAGTCTCGCGAAGAAAGTCAATAGGAAATTGTTTACCGTTTCAAGGGTTGATAAGGAAATGAACGACGAGTTCGAAAGATTTTGCAAATAACGAACCACTGAAAGGGTTGGAACTGTAAAAAGTAAAGGGTAAAAATGAATTTTCGATTCCCGTTGATCGAAGCGATTGTAGCGATGGTAAATAAACATGTCTCAGGAACGAACCGCGAATCTATGCGTCAGAATATTGACTTGGCAGAAAGCACAGGAGGAAGCGCAACCAATTAATCACGCAGGTCGCTTCGACGACAATTAAACGACACCGGAGTATGCCCAATCATGCCAATTGAGACTTATTGAATAAGCGACTCGGTAATGCATCCGCGACCTCCGCTTATTTATGAGTTATGCGTGCTGACCTGTGACTCGTTTGAAAGTGAACTCTGACTTGGGCGCAAGGTCAACCGATGTTTTTTCGTCAAATTTCGATCGTGAATGTTTCGATAAATATTTCAGAGTCGAACAGAATCGAATTTAGCTTAATGATATTGCTCAATTGGAAAGTGACATTCTGTTTCTTAGATAATTATAAATTTCAGAAGAGATCATTTTTAATGGGTAATTTAATGAAAATCTGAAACACTCGTGGTATAAATGAACGAACAATTCATCGATCCCCGTCGATAATTTCTAGGTTTCGTGAAATCATTTCTGGAACGACGCAGACCATCGGCTTTAACAAAGTATTCTTAGACCGGCTGCGGGTATCGATTCAAATTTCATCTGGTTTGAGAGTGCATTAAGTTGCATTGTCCCGATGGAATTTTTGCGATCGGGTTTTCACGCGAAAACACGCGGTCCTTGGTTCGGTTCAACGTTGATTCACTCGTTTATTTTAACGTCTGCCGCGGTTGACCTTTGCTCGGTTCATATTCCGCGCGCGTACATTCACTGAAGTTGGTTAAGATTCTTTAACATTTAAACAAATTCTCCTAGAGTAAACAATTCATCGGAGAAAAGATTGGAGAAAATATTTTTATAAAGTGACAGGTAATATTCTTTCGTTAATCGTTTTGCTGTAACTAGTATTACGTAATATTACTATTGGTGCAACTATGCAGCAGAAACTGTATTATTTTCTTTGCTCTTTTCGGTAATTAAGAAGTTTCGATCAATGATTTGTTACGGTACTGCTTACATGTACCACCAAACTTTTCCAAGCTCCTGTTCGCTCAATCTTGCAACGACTCGATATAAAAATAGCGTTCGGAAATTGATGTGCTAGTTTCTAGACGACGCTTTTATTTCGTTTCCTTGTGCTTTCTGAAACGAACAGACGATTCGAAGGTACACGTGTCGCAGAGGAAGAATCGAGAGACATTTTATTACGAGTGGACGAATCGTTTACTATTTACGCGACTGGACATTTGCGGACAGCACTCGAGACATTACTTTACACGACTGCACATTATTTATGGAAATTTATTTCGCGTTAGTCAGCATTGTCGGCTATCTTCTGCCGTTCTGTGTGCTCGCGAAATTTATTATAATTCGATTGTATAACAACGAAAGCAATTCAGAGAGATTTCAGCGAACAATTCTGATTTATGCGCGAAGCTGATCAAGCTTCGATAGATTGGATAGTTGCTAATTCATTCGACTCCTGCAACTGTGCACACTGTTTAAATTCGTGAATCTATAATTATGTATACTTTATCATTTTTTTCTTTTCATTCTGAATCCGTACTTTTGATTGCTACTGTATATTTTGAGAATTATTAACATATTCGAGCAGAAATCAGTTCGAAATCAGTTCTCGGACGAATAGAGTCAATTAACCAGCAAGATCACGATGGACCGATCAATTGTTGTTACTCCCTCTGCAAGAGAGTCTATTCCGAGGTTGCGTTTATATATAGAAATAGAGAGACCTACGAATGCAGCCTGCAGCGTTTAATGAACTTGGCGAACTTGCCATTGGTAAGCTGCACGTGCCACCTCTGACGATCTACTTTCTGGTCCAAAAAATATTTTCGTTCCCTTTAAGGAAGTTTCCAAGCAGCTTTCACTCCCCTAAGCTTATACAAGTATTAAAATACAAACGATTTATTTCTGATATTCTTTCACGTATTCACCAGTTATATACTCGTTTCTAACATATTCTGTAAATCGATAAAAACATTTTGCAAAGAGAACGAGAATGCTTTACGGTCAACTCGATAGAAAACTTGGTACACGCGAACAATCACTTCTGGAATGTGTTCTAAACCTAACAAATTCCCGAACCGTTCGAAAAATAACAAGCGCGACTCGTTAATAGAAAAGACAAAAGACGAAGGGCATTCCTAACGCGTCCTAGCAGAAAGAATCGGTGACTCGCCCAACGCGGACGAGAATAACCCGATCTATCTTCGTCCGT